AGAATTAGCTATTGAGCACCAATATCTTAAAGGTACTGTGCTAGACAAAGGGCTAGTCATTAAACACAAGTAGGTTCTTGAGCAACCTTTGCCCTTGAGGAACTCTCAAGAGAGAGGTGAGACTGACACATGAGTAAACAGGTGCATCACCTTCAGAAATACCCAACTGTGGGTATGTACAGGTATTATCAGCACTGAGAAGCAAGGAGCAGCTACTCCCTGCCAAAATCAGAGGAAGTGCCTCAGTGGGATAACACCTGATGGCATCTTGTGTGATGATCTCAAGTCCCAGCCAGAGAGGACTGCAAGAGAGAACGAGCCCAAGGACAGGAGCAGTGAAGGAGGAACATAATATATCCAAAATAGGTGAATTTAGCAATGGAGAAGCAGGGCAAACTAGTATTTTGTGAATTATGAGTGCTGAGATCAAAAGGTAAATTAGTGAATAAAAGAAGTACTATATATCATGCTGAAGAATTTAGATATTAACCCAAAAGCCAGGGTTTCCAAAACAACTCAGTTCCACAACATGTGTTATATCCAAGGTCTATCTCTGCTATTTTTGCTTTACCTGTAAACCACTTATACTATTATCTATTTGCTTTTCTAAAACACTGATTTTAATTTTTTACTTAAATTGTTTTTAGATATACATGACAGTAGAGTATATTTTGACATACATACACTAATGGGGTATAATTTATTCTAATTAGTATCCAATTTGTATGTAAAACTCAGCTTTTAAACATTTGTTTTTAAAAGAAACTTTGTCATTACTGTAAACAGATGTTTACAGTAAACCAGTGTTACTTGCAGTCAATTCAAGATCCTCATTAAAGTCAACATGATGAATATAAAACATTCCTATTAATTCTTTGTTTATGAAAGCCTCTCAGTCTGAGGTGTGCGATCTCGTTTTCTAAAGGGAGATTTTAGGTTTTGAGAGAAATTAAATTTCTTCTAGAACTAAACTGAGACTCCTTAAAAGAATTAGAAAGAAGAAAAAGGATTGAGAGGGGGGACAGCACTCTTATTCTGCATGCCAGGGGTATTTAGCAAGTTTGCTGTGTACCATCTTAGACACTGAAGGGAAATTCTTCCCACATGTGGGGAAGTGGTGTTTTAGGAAGAACAGGCCACCTGAGGTGTGTTTTGTTGTTGTTTTGCTGTTTCTGAGTGACAAAAACAAACTTATCTGAATCAGGAATAACTCAGGTCTGGAAAGGGAGACAAATGGAAGCAGAGAAAACATTGTGGAGGCTGTGGGCAAGGGTCCCACTCTGGCCCACTCAAGACAGTGAGGATGAAGAGGGTCCAGATTTAAGAAGGATTTAGAATAAAGCCAAAAGATAGTTCCTGAGGGATGTGGGGCAGGGGTCATGGAAACAGAATCATCAACAATGCCTTGGAGATGGATTGCTTGAGAGACTGCATAAATGGTCTTGGGATTATCCAAGCCAGGATCAAGAGGAATATGTTTGGGGAGAGAAAGGGGTGTGTGTGTGTGTGTGTATGTAGAAAGGAGACAAAGGTGCAGATAGATAAGATCCCAGGTTGAAACGTGCTGCCTGTTACAAATTCTCACGTATCTCAAGGCTGCATTAATCCTGGCTAAAAAAAAAGGGGGGGGGAAGAAAAGAAAAAATGGATGTAAGGGGTTAGCAAGCAACTCCAAAAGTTGAACTAAGAGTCATTCCAAATGTCAGCCAGAGAGAAAAGATATTTTGGCCTATAAATCAGCATCAAATACACACATTCATTTACTTATTTTTGAAAACTTGTGATATAATCAGGTAGACAGGTCTAAGGCATATTAAGCATGTTTACTTTTATAAGATGTTAAAAAAAAATGAACCCATCCAACCAAAAAGTCTTAGAAACCTACTTAGGTAAAGCAGTTTTCTGGGTGCTTGGAGAGAGAGAGAGATAAATTAGACACAGATCCTCCTTTCATGGAGCTTGTAAAGATCTAAGATAGATAAAGTGTTCAGGGATTTATATTTTGTTTGCACGTAAAGAATTTCTTCATGATATCCAGAAAGTATATTTAGCCCCAGAAATTTTCCCAGTGACCATAGTTATTCTGAACTTTGTTTCCGTAGATGATAAGAAACATAGCATTGGAGTGGAACAACAGTAATGTGAAATTTTTGGTAGATCTAAAGATTTGGAAGTGAAAATTTACCAGTCATTAATGGCCCTTTTTCTTTTGTTGTAAAGTACCTATTTGTCTAGTTTAGGAGAAATAAACTAATTGAATGTTATCTTTTGCATATAGCATAGCATTGCCTTTTCTTCTCATCCAAGTATATGATATAGCAATATATTAGAGCATTCTCATGAAAACCCATGAAATAATCCATTTTTTAGGACTGGGACTTTTTCTTGGCAGTCCAGATATAGACTAGAAAGCACAAATTTCACCCTGAGCCTAAAAAAGATTCATAAGTTTGAATAAGGGGAAGGACAACAAGCCTAAATGTTGATGCTCCTTCTTTAGTTTCTAGACCCTTCTGTGGAAAGAAGTGTTTTCATAAGACTCAGACAGAATTCATTTCCATAGAGCGTTCTTAATGGCTCCTGTCAGAACAAAACAGCTGGGAAACATATGGTATCCATTTCCCTGTATCACTTGGAAAAAATTTCACATGTAAATAAAGCCAACATAAAAGAGTAGCCCTTTGAACCAATGACCTGTTATAATATATAAATATATCAGTACAATGCACTCGTTGTATTGACCCACTAAGACAAGTACTTTAAATTTTTTAATACATTCTGAGATACACATTTTTTAGAAGTTCCAAGAAAATTAAGGCAAATATTATCAAATACTATACCATAATAAGTATGTATCTCATAAATGTCTATGGATATTTATTTTTCCCAATAAAACATTTTTAGAAAGCTATAGAATAAAATCAAAGGCATATTTACACCTTATAAACTCTGTGTACACTATCTGCTGTTTTATATAAGTAACCATGTGTGCTCAAGGAAGAGAGAGAAAGGCTTGGCAAAAATTTCTGGCAGACGTTAATTTTTCATAGCTTCACATTTTTTAGAGAGAAAAGGATATATAAATGACAGAAAACTTTTAAATTTATAAGGGACCAACTGGAATTAGTCTTTGCCTTTGCATATTTACATTTCATAAATAACTTTAGAAAATCTAGCTCTTATTGATTATCACTCCTCTGAGTTTATTAACAGGACTTTTGTCCCCTGTGAAATTAAACTGTAAATCCCTCAGAAGGATGCACTTTTGTGCATTTTAAAAGATTTAATGTGTTGTGCAAAGTGAGATTCAAATTCACATACTTGCATTTGTTAATTGTCTGCTCTGGGGCAAGCACTGTGTACGACTAAGAACTGGAGCCAAGAAAGGAGAAGAGAAGCAGCAGTCTGAGGCCATCTTGATACCTTCCTTCCCTTCTGCAAATTCTGTTACATGTTACTTATTGGAGAGAGACCAGCCCTTCTTCATAGCTGGTAGTATTTTCTTCTTAGGTTCTACAATGCCAGAGCCAAAAAGGCTCCAGGGGTGGACCACATAGTGAAGACCTTCTGAAATTGCACACCGTATTGTGGTCCATTTGGGGAATAGAACTAACTCACAATTATATAGCATTCAGATTCAAAACACTCTTTCTCATATCTTTGCTTGGTTCCAGAACTTCTCTGAATCCTTTTGGAACACATTCTGGCAGAAAAAATGATTAGTAACCTAAATTTAGGGAACTTCAATAATGAACGCATTCACCCCAAGAATCAGGACTAGCCAGGGCTCATTGCTGTTGTTAATAGAGCTAAACACACATACCTGTTTCAGGGTCTTTCATTATTTGTTTGTGCTTTAAGCAAAGGACACACATGTATGCTTGCTTTAGGGTTGAATCCTTCCCACCTGTTGTCATTCCAAAGAAAAGAGATACATGAGAGGTTTCTAATTGGGCATGTCCTGAAATCTCATCTCTTTGATGGAGAATGCTGTAAACTAAGTGGCAGGAGAAACCTATCAATAGAAACCTATAAATGAGTGTCCTGTAAGCTTCCAAGGGTGCTATGCCTGTCATCTACCAGAGATGAAGCAACACCATCGTGGCTGAGGATACTGTTGCTGCTTCATCTGCCTGCCCCAGTGAGGAGGTGCTGAGTGATCTTGCATTGAGGCTAAGTAGGAAAGGTAGTGATTCTTATCTTTCACCTCTAAATGTATCTGTTTCACTTTCTATTCCATCTCAACCAGACATTTAGTTGAATGTAAACCAACAGAAAATCTTTATCTAACTTTGCATAGAAAAAAGTAGTCTTCCTACCCCATCTTCCCTTTACAACTTACTCTTCCTTTTGTTCATGTTCAGCTTTCCTAATAATAGAGGGCAGTGTTAAATCTTGAAGAGCATGCTCTGTTGTGAGGTGTTAGTGTATGATATTGCTGTGTCAAATGCCAGAAGCACCATGAGATGCCCTTGCATGAAAGGGGACTTAGGATACTTAGCTTAGGGTGAGGTTAATTCAACCATGGTTTATGTCCCATGGTCCATTCAACTCCTGACCACTTAATTCCTTTTTGTTCTTTCCGTAACCACCTAATAGAAAACTAATGAGTCACCCAGCCAGTAAATCACATTTGAGTTTGTGCAATGTTAAGTAATTTACCCTTTCTTTATATGGGACTTCTTAAATGTTAGAGAGGAGTGTGTGTGTGTGCATGTATGTGAATGTATCCCTTTTCCTCCCTAACTTCATTTGAAAGTTCATTTAACACAGAGGATCCCATCTTCTAATTCTGTTGGTCAACATGTTTCATCTTTCACTGTTTTCAATAGTAAGTATAAATTATTCCTTTTAAGGACATATGTCCTCTTGAAGTCATCTCCTTAACACAGGGGCTTAATTATGAGCATAACTTGAGTGGACCACATCTGCCTGCATGGTCAAGATGTGTGCAGCATTCCAATGTAATAGTCTTCTCTTTTAATTTTTTTTCAAAACAGTTTCTAGCTCTAGCTGGAATTGTGGAGTCTCAACTCTTATTACAAACGCACAAAAGCCCACAGGAATTGCTGAGGTATACAGTAAATTTCGCCCAGTGAAGCGAGTTTCCCCACTCAAACATCAGCCAGAGACTCTAGAGAACAATGAAAGTGATGACCAAAAGAACCATAAAGTGGAGTACCCCAAGGTGGGCGAGTCTGACCAGGGCCCCCCGCCTGAGGAGCTCAGCCCTGAAGATGGAGTGGGAGGCTTGCCCAGTAAGAGCTCTGAGTCCAGCACTGCACTGGGCGAACTGGAACATTACGACCTCGACATGGATGAGATTCTGGATGTGCCTTACATTAAATCCAGTCAACAGCTTGCCTCTTTTACCAAGGTGACTTCAGAAAAAAGAATTTTGGGTTTATGCACAACCATCAATGGCCTTTCTGGCAAAGCCTCCTCTACAGGAAGCACTGAGAACTCACCATCCAGTATGACCCCATTCTGTGTTCTTTCTCCTGTGAAAAGCCCTCACTTGAGAAAAGCATCAACTGTCCTCCGCGACCAGCACAAGCTCTCCACTGAAGAGTCTGAGAGCTCACCTCCTCTGGTTACATGTGGCTCTGCATATGAGCCAGAAATCCAGAATAAAGACTTCTTAAACAAGGCCTTTAGTGACCTGCATAGCCGAAAGATTGAGAAGACAATGCCGGACTGTCGGCTCCGGGGCTTCCACCTGCAATCTGCAGAAACAGAATCCAAACTGGAAGAGCCGGTCAAGGGCATGAGCTGGACCAGCTCCCAAGGCCCAGAAGAAAGGAGTGAGTATCTGAAAAAAGTAAAAAGCATCTTGAACATCGTGAAAGAAGGACAAATATCTCTCTTGGTAAGTATCTCTCCTTGGTATACACAAATCTAGAGAGCTGTTGTTATCAGCTGCATTCTTAACAATGATGTTATGTGCATTTTGCATCTTGTTTAATGTTTTCTTGTGGCTTTGGTTGGGGAGTGTGACCTCTTGAGTTTTAAAATAAAAAGTTAGGAGGTTAATACAGGGAAAACAAATTGATATAGAAGGAGTGTTATTTCACTTTAACTTTTAAAATTCAACTGGAATAAAGAGATTTAACCTAAAACAAAGAGAGCCCAGCACTTTTTTTCACTTGAATCTTGAAGTCTTTCTTTTTGCTTTTCAAATGGTTCCCAATGCTCTCGCTCAGTTATTTGTAGGGATGTCAGTTCCTTGTCGATGACAGGCCTGCCAAATATGTGAACAGAGAGTTTTCTGTTTTATCCTGATCATTATTCAGGAGAGTTGGGCCAGGATGTTTGCAAAGTATTTGCAGATAGAAGCTTACCCTAGAGCTTGATTGCCCTCTGACCCACATGTAGTTTTTACTTAGTTCCAGCTCTGCATGTCTAGGGAGCTTGAAGTAGTGTTTCCCAAGACTCAAGACACAGAGTAACATGATGTAAGAAAAGTCTGTTCTGCTTCAGCTCAGAGCTCAACTCAAATAGCACTCCATCTGCCTGCATTGTTCTTTTCTGGCTTCCAGGCATGGATCAAACAGTAGCAAGCCTGGGCTCCTACTACAATGCTGATTAAAGCCTCATTCAAGAAAATCACTGCTTCTTGGACATGTATTTCTACTTAGTGTGAAGCCATACGTAGATAAAATATAACGTGCTTGGTATATTATCACAAACATTGTTGCCATAGACAATATAATTGGATAGTTTAATCAAATAAAGTGGTAATTTTTTTTCTCCTGAAAATATATTTTCCATTTCTCCTGGTTCCTTCCTCTTATTCTCGTTGGTTTATTCCCTTCCTTTGATCTTACCATGTTTTCATATTTCCCAATTGCGAACACCACTTAGTTCCCCAACAATCTCTATATCAACCATCTCATATTCAGGGAACTCAGTTTCACTAGAGGTGAGAAAACGAAAGTCTAAGTACCCTCCAGATGCCCCCACGAGCAATAAGGAGGTGACAGTATCTGGAGGTGCCCACTAAACACTAGTAGATGCAGACATCATGTAGTTTGTAGTCAAAACCAGTTCTCCACAATTCAGACAGGTAGAAACCAGTAGTCTCTTTATTCATTCAGTGGATCTACAGCGGGGAATAAAACAGCCCCAGCTCAAGGACCTAGCAGTCAAGAGGGGAAGACATGTAGGGACCCTCCCAGTTACCATAAATGTCACTGCATTTTAGAAAGCCAAATTGAAGCCTCCACAGCCCACTGACCCCAGCCCTGATGTCACGTCTCACGTGAAGACCCATCTCTTAAGAATTCACATTCTGAGGCATATTATCCCAAGGAGTAATGGCAAGGAACTCTGACTTTCTCATCCCTACATTGCCATTAGGGCTTCATTAAGCTTATTACTTCTTCCCAGAGCCCAGAGCAAAACCCCCACAGACTCTTATTCTGATGTGTTGACTTGTTTTCTAATCCTACTGTTTGTACAGCCACATCTAGCTGCAGACAATCTAGACAAAATTCATGATGAAAATGGAAACAACCTGTTACACATCGCTGCATCGCAGGGACACGCAGAATGTCTCCAGCACCTCACTTCTTTGATGGGGGAAGATTGCCTCAATGAGCGGAATACCGAGAAATTGACACCAGCAGGCCTGGCCATCAAGGTGACTGGTTGGGGGCTTGGCTCTCCTCAGCTAAAGTCAGTTTTCTGTGTTTTCAGATTCCGTGAAGCTAAAGTATTAGACGGGAGGGAGAGGAGAGTGATTTATCAAGCAAACATCAATGAACGCATCACATGTCAGAGATTACCCATTTCCATCACTAGCTGCTTTGAGATTTGTTCCAATTTGTTGTCCAATAAGTTAAGCTTCAAATCAGACAATAGAGAGGAAAATGATCCATTGCAGTGCTAAGGACTTGTGTAATTCATGGTGACTGCAATTTAAATTCTTCACCATACCTGGCTCTATCAGACACTGTGTCATTTTTTCCTAACGTGAGAATAATGAGCAAGACAAATGAGGAAAAGGTGTGTTTTCAGGGATGATAGCACTCAGGAGTATTTCAGATAATAAAATAGACTTTTAATGGATCAGATCCGAAGTTTAAATGTCTTCAGGTATCAAGAGTTGTTTAGAATATCAGTGTGGCTTTTGCATTTAGTTTTTGCATAGCACAATATGCTGTCAAAAACTACACAAATTAATGCCAACTAGGATGGAGTTAAAACTTACAAACCACAATACAAGAAAACATGGACTTTTATAGTACTGCAGTGAGTGCTCTGTAAAATATAACAGATCATGAGAAGGTTAGCTATTAAACTAAAGTTACTTTAAAGATCTTTGGCAAATAAATGTAGAATTCAGTCACATTTATTAAAAAGCCAGACGTGAAGTTCAAGGAAATATAATACATCTTGCACTTCTGCATATGTACTTTGCTTTCATAATAGTTGTGTCTTCTAAAAGTCAAATAATCACATTTTTTACAAATGGAATTATATTGATATTGACTAGGGGAACTTGCTAGTTAAAATAACCTACTTGTGAATTCATTATGAAACATGTTACATTTGAACAACAAATAATCTTCCTACCTCTGATATATCTTTTATGCAAAGTTGAATTTTTGTATCTTTAACTTGTTTATCATTCAGTAAAGTTTTATATATTGCAAATGTGTTCAATTTTATTTATTTTTGCTCAGGGGTGAATAATGACTTCAAAAACAGTATAAAAAATAATTTTAATAAAATAAGAAACCTATGACCATAGTGGGTATAATTTTCCTTTGGCTGTGAACAATGCTATGTCAACTCAAGCAACTCAACTACAACAGCCACCATAAAGAGATGAAAATTAAATGTGAAGTCAGGGTTTGGTCTAGTTGAGTTTATCAGAATGTACCCCATCTATCTAGTATCTCCAGTTAGACACTGGAGATACATATTTAAATAAGGCATACTCTTGTTCTTATAGAGCTGGTAACCTGGTAGATAAGACAGGTGTGTCATCAGTAACACCAGTGCAAGTTGGCAAATTTGAAATTTAGTCCTGTGACAAAGTTCTGTAAGAAAACAGGGGTTACATGTGATCATCAATGGGCATGTGTCAATGACAAATAAAATATTTTTGGAATCCCAGTGAATGTTGACATTTGCCTTGCTGCTTTATTGTTTATAAAAATGTAATTTTCATTAGTTTTCATAACTAATGGTATATTGTAGTTGGACAAAAGCCCATGTTTTTCTTAGTTTATGCACCCTCATGCTTGTTTTGATGGATTTAAAATCTCTGTGAAGAAAGATACATAGGAAACTTAATGGTTAAAAAAAGCCAATCTTCAGCATAAATACCTCCTGTTGTATACATGTTTGAGTGTTCTTTCATACCCAAGCTCCTGTAGTCAACAAAGTATTGTTATCATATAAGATATATAAGATATGCATATATCATAAGCAGTCTGCAAAGTTAAACAACAATGTTTTTGTTTTTATTTGAATAAAAGACAAATATCCAATTCATAAGACCCAAAAGCTGTTACTGATTTGGCGTCACAGGTTTCTCATTTTTACTTCTGGACAATGATTGTAGAAGTGGATGTGCTCTTCCACTCCATTACTTAATCTAGAATTTGTAAAAGCAGTAAGAACAAATATTTCATAATAAGTGTCACCACCACCCCCTTTAGAAATCAGTCCTGATGTATGTCCTGCCTCTCTCCATTCAGTGCATTTTGATAGACACTGATGAAGTTGAGAGAGCCCTGAGGGTCATCATTCTTCCATTTGGGGGCCTTATTTTGAACACCAGTACCCAGGTGTTTCACCTCATTACACACAGGGTCTCAGAGCCCTGATGTCATTAAAGACAAACATACTTGGTACAAACAGGCTGAAGTTTCTTGGATAGTATGACTTAGCTGACAGGGAGCAAAGTCAGAGATAAGGTATTATGTGAAAAGATTACCTGAGAAAGGGGGTTTTAAAGTCATATCAGAACTTAAAAACATCTCTCCCCCACTCTTAAATTCCTTCAAGGAAACATAATATATTATGCCAGTCACATGCAGAATTTATTGAGTGCTTTTTGAAAGACCCAACAGTAGATAGTTTGAGAGTTCAGGACATTATTGGTATCTCTGGAGATGGCTAAGAAAAGAAATGGAGAAGGATTTCTAAAATGTCTAATACTAAAGCAATCTTGTTTTCTAAAATGGAACTAATAAGAAATTATTTTAGTAGCTAAAAAGACCTGGAATAAAATGACCTTAATTGCCTAGTTATTCTTCTCTTCAGTCATTCTGATTAAGCCCAAAAGCACAGTGTTGGTCTGGTGATAAGATGACTTCAAACACATAACCTTACTGACTTCTTTTTAACACACTGAGCAACCCCAGACCCAGAGAATTTGATAGGCAAAAATTTCTTGCTAGAATTAGATCATGTTTTGGTTCATTTGTTTCTTTTCTTGGTATTTATATTTATTGCAAGTGATACTGGTTTCAAACTCATAGTAGTGATATAATAATTTCTTCTGCCTTCTTAGCAGTGTTTTATTTATTTTAAATGTTGATTCCTTGAAAAATTAGACCTAATAATCATCTAAAAGAACATTCTACCCAATGACAACAGAGTACACATTCTTGTCAAGTGTACATGGAATTTTTCTAAGATAAATCCTATGTTAAGATAAAAAACAAATTTCAGTAAATTTATAAGTATTGAAATACAAAGTTGTGCTCTCCAATCACTGTAGAATCTAATTAGAAATCAATAACCAAGGGAAATCTGGGATATCCATAAGTGTAAAGAATTAATATACTCTAAAATAATTAATAGGTCAGAGAAGTAACCATAAAGGAAATTAGAAACTATATAAAATGAAAATACAACACTTACAGGATGCAGCTAAAGCTGTATTTAAAGGGAAATTTGTAAAAGATGCAGGAAAGGGAAAGAGATCTCAAAGCAATAGCCTAATCATATACCTTGGGAAATTAGAAAAAGTAGAGCAAACTTAATACAAAGCAAGCAGAAGAAAGGAAATAATAAAAATTAGAGTGGAAACAAATGTGAGCAGAGAGAGAGAGAGAAAGAAATTACTAAAACTTTGCCTCATATTTCTGTGTGCTGTATAAATACCAATTTATTTGAACCGTTTTTCTTGTATCTAATGAATAGAATTCCTATCCCTTTCTTTATTCAAAGGGAATGAAACAAAATATATAGTAGGTTTGTTTGTCCGCTTCTGATAGAAACATTGGACATACTCAAATTTAAAGGAAGTCTGTAATGACGGGATTATTATACACCAAATTGTGGGTGGAGTGAATGAAGGGAGTCTATTGGAAAGTGCAGTCTCCTGGGGTCAGCAACAGTCAGAGCACACTTACCACCCTAAAGCCTGGAGGGGCTGGGGAAGGAATGGTTGCAAGAACCTTAACTAGAGAGACTGATCAGAAAGGACTGGCCAGCTTTTGATCTTGGATGCATCAAAGTAATCCTAGTACTGTCAGTTAATCCATTAGTAGGAGGAAGGACTCATCTGGCCAGTTGGAAACCCTCTAGATGGAAGCCAGGAGCAGAGGATAGCTGAAACTTACTCTGCTTTCCTGATCTCCATCAGCCAAACCCAACCTCCCAGAGCAAGAAGGAGCACAGAGAAGGACATCTAATCATGCAAATACAGGCATGTGTCACTTAATGATAAAGATATGGTCTGAGAAGTGAGTTGTTAGGCAATCTTGTGCTTGTACAAACATCATAGGGTGTACTTAACAAACACAGAGGGCATAGGTCAAAGTGGCCTTCTTATGGAATCAAGATATGGTGTTTTGATAGTAAACTCTATTTTTAGTAAGTAGAAGGAGTACACTCTAAGGTTGAAAGTATAATAATACATAAACCAGTAACAGTTGTTTATTGTTATTATCAAGTATATAATGCACATAATTGTAGGTGCTATATTTTTCAGCTCCATTGTAATTTTAGGGGACCACAGTAGTATATACAAGTTGACAGACACATCATAATGTAGCACATGACTATATCTCAAAAAGAGGGCACTGAATTTGCATGCAAATAGATGGGAAATGCTGACTGAAATTCTATTATCCAAATAAGGAAGGATAAAGAATGAGCAGATCACCTCTTCTATCTAGCTTTTAGAATAGAGTTTTTCACCTTGAGAAAATAAGTATTAGGATTCTAAAATAAAAAGACAATAATCCTATTATGCTAACATAAATGCTACCCTCTTTGAATCCTTCCCTGGCTCTATGCCCACAGTAACTCCTTTTCTGTGTTCCACGCTGTGCAAACTAGGAAGCTGATTAAATGTCTCATTTGTCTGCAGAGTTACCATCAGAGTCCAAGGAAGCGTTCTAATAGTAGAAGGTAAAAGTTTTCTGTGCTTAGGAAGCCTGCATGCTTTATCTCATTTAATCCTCACAGTGATGTTAGGGAGGTAGTTACTATTAACCCTCTTTCACAGATGAATCCATTGCTTATTACAGAGATAAAGTAACTTGCCCAACATCTTGTAACTAAGTGACAGGCTAGGGATTTAAATCCAATCCAGAGTCTGTGTGGGTCTTAATCATTAGAATATGCCTATCATACTATAAGTAGTCCTGAAAATCCTCAACAAATATATGTGGACTACATTTTTTCCACATTTTTATTGATACATTATAATTCCACATAATATCAGGAGTCATTGTTACATAGTCATACATGCACAGAATATAAAAACCTAATTGGTCAATGTCATTCCAGAATATTGCCCCTTTCCCTTCCCTCCTCCCTCCTTCTAGTCCCTTTCATCTACTCCATTTTTCACCCTTTGATTTTCATGAGATGATTTTCATGAGATCCCACAACCATTCTTATTCTTTTTCCTCTATATGAACTGTGTTGTAATTGTTTAAATGTTTTGTTAATTTTCTGAAATTCTCACAGTACCTGAGAGTAAAACCCAATAATGGTTTCAAGATAGGAGAGAAATGTAAATTCTAAAAAATGATGAGAATAATATCTGGCTTCATAAAACCTCTTATAAAGACTCCAAGAAAATTACATTCTTTTTTTTTTACCTACTTCTACTTTCCTGTTCTTCTTGATCCTAAGAATCATTTTGTTTTCCTAAAAAATGTGCCAAGTTGTGGCTGTTTGACCTTGTGTGTTGGTAGTTTTATCATTTACCAATGAAAAACTGATTCTTTTATAAGAGTATTTTCCTTTTTAAAATTTTAACATTTGACCAATTAAGATATTTACCTGGTATATGTGTGTGTGTGTGTGTGTGTGTGTATGTTTTGATAGTAAACTCTATTTTTAGTAAGTAGAAGGAGTACACTCTAAAGATGAAAGTATAATAATACATAAACCATTAACAGTTACTTATTGTTATTATCAAATATATAATGCACATAATTGTAGGTGCTATACTTTTTCAGATCCTTTGTAATTTAATTTGTCCTTTTTAATTTAATTTGTTCTTATTAGTTATACATGATAGTAGAATGAATTTTGACATATTATACATATATGGAATGTAACTTATCTTCTGGTTATACATGATATAGGATTACATTGGTCATATAATCATATATATATATATATATATATATATATATATATAATAGTAATGTCTGATTCATTCTACTATCTTTCCTATTTCCATTCCTCTTCCCTTCCCTTCATTCCCTTTTGTCTAATCCAAAAATACTTCTGTTCTTCCCCAATTCACCCCTTATTGTGAGCTAGCATCCACAAATCAGAGAAAACATTCAGCCTTTGTTTTTTGGGGGGGTAGGGGAGGTTGGCTTATTTCACTTAGCATAATATTCTCCAGTTGCATCCATTTACTGGAAAATGATATAATTTTATTCTTTTTATGTTTGAGTAATATTCCATGTGTATACATTTTCTTTATCCATTCATCTGTTGAATGGCAGTTGGGTTGGTTCCATACTTTAACCATTGTGAATTGAACTATTAACATTGATGTGGCTGTGTCACTGTAGTATGCTGATTTTAAGTCCTTTGGGTATTAACTGAGGAGGGGGATAACTGGTTCAAATGGTGGTTCCATTCCAAATTTTCTAAGGAAAACTGCTTTCCATAGTGGTTGCACCAATTTGCAGTCCCCACCAGCAATGTTTGAGTGTACCTTTTTTCCACACATTCAGCCAACATTTATTGTAGCTTGTATTCTTTTTTTTATATTTATTCTAATTTGTTATACATGATGGCAGAATGCAATTCATTTCATATTACACATATAGATCACAAATTTTCAATTCACTGATTGTACACAAAGTATTTTCACACCATTTCTGTCTTCCTACATGTCTAACTTATTCCACCATCATTTCTACCCCCTTGCCCAGTCCCTTACCTTCCATCCTCTTTGCCCTATCTAAAGTTCCTCCATTCCTCCCATGCTCCACCTCCATTGCCATTATGAGTCAGCATCGTCATATCCGAGAAAACATTCCGCCTTTGGTTTTGTGGGATTGGCTAACTTCACTTAGCATTATATTCTCTAGCTCTATCCATTTACCTGCAAATGCCATGATTTTATTTTCTTTTAATGCTGAGAAATGTTCCATTGTGTATATATACCAAAGTTTCCCTATCCATTCATCTACTGAAGGGCATCTGGGTTGGTTCCACAGTTAGCTATTGTGAATTGTGCTGCTATAAACATTGATATGGCTGTGTCCCTATAGTATGCAGTTTTTCAGTCCTTTGGTTATAAACTAAGGAATGGGATGGCTAGGTCAAATGGTGGTTCCATTACCAGTTTTCTAAGGAATCTCCATATTGCTTTCCATATTGGCTGCACCAATTTGCAGTCGCACCAGCAATGTATGAATGTGCCTTTTTCCCCACATCCTTGCCAATTATTGTTGCTTGTATTCTTGATAATTGCCATTCTGACTGAAGTGAGATGAAATCTCAGTATAGTTTTAATTTGCATTCTCTAACTGCTAGAGTTGAACAATTTTTATATATTTGTTGACTATTCATGTTTCTTCTGTGAAGTGTCTGTTCAGTTTATTTGCCCATTTATTGATTGAGTTTTTTTGTTTTTTTGGTGTTAAGATTTTTGAGTTCTTTATATATTCTGGAGATTAGTGCTCTATTTGAGGTGCAGGTGGCAAAGTTTTCTTGCATTCTGTAGGCTCCCTCTTCTCATCTTAATTGTTTCCTCTGCTGTGAAGAAGCTTTTTAGTTCAATTCCATCCTGTTTGTCAATTCTTCATTTTATTTCTTGCACTTTAAATATGGATTGTTAATTTTTCATTAACAGATACAATACTATTTTATTTGGGTATTAGAAAATAGTTGCTCTAGCTTACAAACTTTAATAATAACAGATAATTGACATTGTTTGCTGGCTTGTATATGAAACGACTGGAATGCTCAAGCATTCCCAGTGATAGTGTAGTCAACCAGTTTGGAAACCAGTCTGACAGTTTTTCATAAAGTCAAATACACACCAACACATGATCCAGAAATTCCAGTCATAAACTGGAAATTACCCTATGTAGACTAAGTAAATTCCATATTTACCTATCAGAATGAAAGGACATATTCACAAAAAAAATATTTATAGCAACTTTATTTATAATATCCCCTAAATGGAAACAATCCAAATACTCTCAATAGGTTACTGTATAAACAAATTGTGATCTAGTGAGACAATGGACTACTTTCAGCAATAAAAAAGGGAGTAAAATACTGATAAAAAGTAGCAGCTTAGATGAATCTCAGAAGTACTAAGCAGAGTGAAAGAAGTCGATTGTGAAAGAAGTGGATCATGAAAGAGTGCAGAGATATTTTTAAAACCTGAATTACTTTGACTTTCTTTCTTTTAAATCTAGAATGGTCAGTTGGAGTGTGTACGCTGGATGGTGAGTGAAACAGAAGCTATTGCTGAACTGAGTTGTTCCAAGGATTTTCCAAGCCTTATTCATTATGCAGGCTGCTATGGCCAGGTATGGAGTTTTTAAGTTATCTTCCCTTTATGCACCATATAATTGACTTGTTTTCTTTTTATTTGTTCATCAAAATCCAAACATAAAATATTCAAAATATATTCATTGATTTTTAAGCAATGATAGTAATTGTAGCATTTTTTAATGAAAAAATAAAAACTTAAACAATCTGTTAACCCAAGAATAGCATATTGGATAAATAATAAAGCTATATTCATATGATGGAATTCTCATATGAAATTTCCTCTCGTGTGTATAACTAATTATGTAACATTAATTAAAATGTATGATACAGAACTGTTCCCATAATTTGGTGCCAACTCTGAAATTTGAAGAGACAGAAAGAGAAATAGAAAGTAAAACCAGAAAAAAAAAACTATGGTACAACATATTTGTAGTCATTATTGCAGAGATAGAACTATAAGTGGCTCTTTTTTGTTCAATATTTTCAGATTTTTGTAATAAGTACATTTAACATTTACCAAAAGTTAAAATGCTATACTTTATTAAACCCACATTTGGAAGGAAAATCTTTGTAAGACATTAATCAAGGAAGTCTGCTCAAGTAAAGATGAGCACACTAACTAGTTACAACTAATTTCTGTTAGGAAATCCCAGCATGAGTAATTGATATACCCAGATCAGAATCCAGTATATAGAGTGAAAAATTTTTAAAAAACCTATCTTCCCTTAAGGGAGATGAGTATAAATTATCTTGTAACAACATTGGAACCACAAAATACCAATTTCAGTCTTAAAAATAATAAAGTCAGCAACTGCATTAAAATAGATTTAATCACATTTGCGGCAAAGAAAATGCCTCTCATGCATATAACTATATCCCTTTGACTTCATAAACTTTCCCAGTGGCAGTAAATTGTGGTATTGTCAATAAGAGATTATGATTTTTCAAACATAATAGTCCCAAATTCAAAAAATAGACTGAAAAATATTGTCACAGTCTTTTTTTTTTAACAGAAGGGGGTGATTAAACCCAGAGCCCTGCATATGCTAGGCAAGTACTCCACCACTGAGCTATGCCTCACCCTCTTTTTCATTTTATTTTGAGACATGGTTTTGCTAAGTTGCCCAGGCTGGTATTGAACTTTGAATCTTCCTGTTTCAGCCTCCTGAGTAGCTGGGATTGCAGGTGTGCACCACTGAGCCTGACCAGTCTTTCATTAGTTGGAGTCATGCTAGCTGATAGTTTTGTTATTTTTTTTAACTGATCATTTATTTTGTACCTTAGTAACTTCAATTAATACAGATACAAATGTATTTCAAACAATATAAATAAACTGTATGTATATAATTATATATTCAGAGGCATACACACATAATGTTTCCTATGTGTGCCAGGCTCTATACTATTGGGTTTTGTATACATTATCTGGTTCTTAAAACAACTCTATGAGATGTTTTTAACCCCATTGTATAGATGAGGGGACTGAAGAAAGAAAGTTGAATGACTTATACATGGTCTAATGGCTAGAAAGAGAAAAGACTAGAGTTCTGCTCTGGTCCTCAGACTCCAGGGACAGTTTCTATTTGTCCCCATCTGTGTAGAAAATTGGTACAGATTGTAACAGTGGCATTGATACAACTGAAGAAGACTTTTTTACATTTTGTCTAACAATAAATACACTGATATACAGAGTACTTCATTGCTCATTGAAGTGAGCAACTGTGCAAATTTATGAAATGGAGAAAGGATCAGGAAGAACATTTAAGACATGTAAAAGCCACTGTCTGAAATGTTTCAGTTACTCAGTTTTCTTCATGCATTTTACTGGCTAGTCCCCATCCACAATGTCCTAAAAACAACCAATAGTGATTGATAGGCATTGGCTTAGGTGGCTGTTTTGCTTATAATGGCAAAAGGAAGAATACAAATTTTAAATGCTCAGGAGGATTGATCACTGTTAATTTTTATAAATCACTTTCAGTATAAAACAGAATTTTATTAAATTGTGTGGGTAATTGTTTCATGTCCCTAAGTCCTTTTGCCTATAAAGCCTAACAAGGACTTTTAGACATCTGTGGCAGAGTTTACCAGAGTCAAGGAGGAAAAGATAGAGTTGTTCTGAGCCTCTCAGTGAATCTCAGATTCAGCATTCTTCATCTTGGGAAATGTTGCTCATATATACCAGTTTCTTTATTCACAGCAGGTTCCTCATAATTTTGAATCTGTTGGGATACCACAAAAGAAAGGGGCCTGTCTGAGACTGGCTGGGTAAAGTGTAGCTGAAGTAGAGGAAACTATGGAAGTTACTGACTTGTTGGAAGAGCTGTGTCGTTTGCTTTACTTTATTACCAATCTTTAGATTATTTCAAGCATTTTTTTATTGACCTTAAGTAGAACTTTGAGGGTTGGGGGGGGCAGCCGGGCAGCACCCTTAGGAGAGCATTCCTGCCCAAGTGGAAAATATAAAAGCCCTTTAGATCTGTGAATTCTGTCCAGCCGTCCTACATCCGCCACAGCCACTTATGTAACAGATAACCTGCAGAGACGCCTGAACTTGGAACCATGACAAGGCTAATATTTTCACAAGGAAGACTGTTATTGAACAGTTTTCTAATGAATTCAGCACATGCAAGTTTTTCTACATCAAGCAGGTACTTGAGTGTGTTCTGATTTTTGTTTCTTCAGTAAATATCTCTGGAAAAGATAGCACCAAGGAAAATTCCTCTCTCCGTTTATTTTAGTTGCCCTCTGCCCCTCATAGCGATTCTTAAAGAATGGGCTCCATTTGACTCCCAATTTGTGTCCTTTTTCTTGTAAAAATTACCTTTAAAGACTTCAGTACCACAGGGTAGCCAGCAGTTTTTAGTGGCCTCCTGGAGTGATAGATCTTTGGGTGATAGGAATTGATTTTCCTCTTCTTGACACTTGAAGTCTCAGAGGGTACAATTATTTCATTGCCTGATGGTGCCTAGCGGAACATGCCACGGGGAGCACCAAGGTGAAAGCATGGGGAGACTGGGGGAACAAGCAGGTGTCCTTAGCCAGGCCTGCCTTGCCATCCCAGAAGAGGGATGTTGCTGCCAAAACAATTGAGTCACAACCATGTTGATTCGAAGCTCCTATTCAAAGCCCATGTAAGTTGGGCTCTTTTATTCAAACATGAAGGTTGCATCCAGGCTCTTCCAGCAGAGATTCCGACCTGCAGCTGCTTGGGGCATCAGCCTGTTCTGCATTGGTCACTGGCTCTCTGTGCCTTTCAACATCAAGCTTGTAATTCCTTGTTTCTGAATCATTTACATGCCATTTGGTCAGGACATCCTTCTACAAAAATTGCATCCCAACATCAAGCATTTACCAAGAGCACCTTTGCCTATGCTGTACTTATTCTCCATTTTAAAGGTTTGCCCTGAAACAGATACTTTCAAAGAGCACTTTCTGAAAAGGGAAAGGCTCAGCAATTCCTATGAATGCCCGTGCTTGAGCAGCAGTAGACCTGCCCGCAAGAGGGATGCTCCTGCAGGCTCTGTTCTTCTCGTTTCTCCCCAACTGACTTTAGAAAGGAGACTATTCCCTTGACATTATTATTCCATTGACTTTATTGTCTCACTGCCATGGTGCAGAAATAAGTAAACAACCTGAAAGTGCTGCCTACATTTTCAGATGAGAGAAAAATAGAAAAATCTTTGATTAGCATTGGCATCCATCTGCTCTGCAAATACTGATCTCAAAAAAACCCAACTGAGCCAGAACTCCACAGCCCACAGTCTGACAGGCAGTTAACAGTGATTTCTTTGACCCATGGGCCTGAAAAAGAGAGAATGTCCTTTAGATTTAACGGCAGTGGAGGAATGAGTAGTTGTGCATGTTTGTGTTCATAGATAGAAAGCAGAGTCAAGAAAAGCATTGGTCCCTAACTCAAGCTGTCTGGGTTTAAATCCTAGTCACCAATTACTAGCTGCATGGCCGTAGAAACATTCATTTACAGAAAATAAAGGAAAGAAGAAAAGGTCTCCCTGGACCTCACTTTCCTCATCTACTCCATATGGATAATAGATCCTTCCTTATAACATTGTTCAAAAGACTGAGTAAAAAACAAACATACTTCCCAATACAATGAAGGTACTAGATAAATATCGACAGTTGTGACTGTTATAATTTGTTATTTTATTGCTATCAGTATTATTTATTTACTTATTTCACCATAGCTAAAGAAATAAGAGAAACTTGCCAAAGAATTATTTGGGCCTCAACCTATTTAATCAATTTTTGCATGCACCTTTCCCCCCACAGTTTACCATCTCCAGATTCTACATTTACTTCAATAAATGACATTATGAAATTATGGCTGGCCATTTTTCCCCTACATTTTAACTTCTCAAAAACTGGAATGAATCTTAAAATCAATGGCATGGTAGATTTGATGATCTATGGCTGCAAACAAAGCTGACTCTTTTCAGAACTTGTGATTGCACCACAAACTATTGAGATTTTATTGATACCAGCAATAAAACTGTGACATACTTTCAATTAAATTTTCTATTAGACTTTATCCAGCAAGTCTCATAAATTACATGTATTAATTGCCTCTTTAAACAACTTGCATTGCCTTTGGGAACACATAAAATACAATACTATATCAGGTTACCAAAAGATCAGAAAATCCCTAGAAAAGGAAATTGGTACATGAAGGAAGTTTTTAGTCAGTAGATGCAAGTTGAACAGAGAGATGCATGTGTGGGTGCAGGGATGAAATGTAAGTTGGAAAATCATTCTGTGAAATGGAAGTAATGCAGAGGGCCTTTTCATCTATGTGACAGCATTGGATGCTCTCTGAAAGTAATACAGGGAAATGAAAATCAAAGTTATATTGTTTCTTTAACTTCTCCTCCCTATAGACACAAACAGAGAGAGAAAGGGGGGAGATATGTTAAAGGGTTAAGGGGAGGTAGACACAATTTCCTATAGATAAAATACACATGTGCTTTAATAAGGAGAAAGTGGCCATATATATTTTGACCTTCTCATGAGGTATTGTTTAAATTGTGCATCTCACAGGTATGTTCCCCAGAACCCAAGCAGAATTTCTCTGGTTTTACCAAAACTACAGATGCTAGCCACCTCTATGTCCATCTCAGAAATCCTAAATGAGAATGGTTAAAAGACCAGGCATATAATCAGCTAATTTCTTTTAGTAGTACTTCTCTGTGTGGTATAATGGGAAGGATTTTTATTTTTGTATACTGGCTAAGCCAACTGCCTATCTTCTTTGGAAAGTAAATTGTCCTATAAAAACACCAAACTAACTTGGAGTTGTTGGGCAAACACCTGACTTGTTCTGAACAATCAAAAATTGTTCTTCCTTTACGTAAGTCTTAAATTAGGTAAACTCTCTAATTGTCATTGTAAGAAAATAAGGGAGTTTATTATAACTATACAGACTGATCCTGGCTTGTAGAGCTCTCTGGAGCCAGGGAACTGTGTCTGGCTCACATGGACCTCGTGTGTCTCATTCTTCATGGTAACCAGGCTTCTGCAAAGAGCCCTAGATTCACCCCAGATTTCCACAACAGGAAAATTCCTAGTCTTATGAAATGCTGTATTCCACTGCCTACACCCACCCACTGCTAAAAGTCAGAATACTGTGATTTTAGTAAATGATGCTTTGGGCAGGTGGACTATCCAAATATAGTATCCACAATACTATATAATTGGGTCTGAAAAAAAAATAAGAAAATTTGCATGAAAAGAAGGTACAGATAATACATTGATAAATACCTTAAACTCCTTTGCACTAAATAATGAGCTGCTAGAAATCAGAGTACGCAAAAATGTCCTCTCCCTCAGTTTTCTGATTTATAAAGTAGGACTGTTTGAACTGCATGATTCCCTAAAATTTCTTTCAGTCTATAGTTTTAAGAATCCATATTCTAATATTATGGAGCAAACCAAGTTACTGTGGCTTAAAAATGACCCACAGAAGAAGCTTATTTTGCATATGGTTGCACCATCTTTTTTCACCAGTGAGGACACAGCAGGCCGCCCTCCTCATGCAGTATCCATATGTCTTAGCCATTGACTGTAGAATGGTTGGTTATGCCTTTTATCCTAAAGTACTTCTCATTGAGGTTCTCATTGATTTGTTTATTTGTTTTATGGTACTAGGGATTGAACCCAGTAGTACTCAACCACTGTGCTACATCCTAATCCCTTTTATTTTTATTTTGAGACAGGGCCTTACCAAGTCATCTAGGTTGGCCTCAAACTTGCAATCCTGGTTCACTGAGATTTTTTTAAGGAGTTAAGATTACAGGGGCTGGGGATGTGGCTCAAGCGGTAGTGCACTCGCCTGGCACGCGTGCGGCCGGGGTTAAATCCTCAGCACCACATACAAAACAAAGATGTTGTGTCCGCTGAAAACTAAAAAATAAATTAAATATTAAAATTCTCTCTCTCTTTCTCTCTCTCTCTCTCTCTCTCAAAAAAAAAGAAAAATTACATAGTACAATCATCTGTTTCCAAGTAAAAGTAATGCAATATTTCTTTCCTACCCAATTAGGAAAGGTAAAGGAAGTGGTTTTACCTCATACATGTGGAAAAATTACCTGTTCTGGACCAAAATGTCAGCTCCAACTTTCTCCAGGTTTGCATAGATAATATGTGAGCATATCAAAATATAAGCATATCAGAATATCCAAACTCTATATATAACTCCCTACCTTCACCTTAGGGCTCTGCTCCTTCTTGGGGGATCCTTAAGGGTTTCACTTTCTACAGGGTCTGTCTGCTTTTGCAGCTAACACTCACCCTGCTTCCCCAGGTGCATTCTTGGGAGGCTGTAAGCAGTGATTACATTTTTCTCATCTTGTTCTTTAGGACTCCTTACTCCCTACTTGCTCATTTGGAAAAAGTGTGGTGCAAATGTTCAGTCTGTCCCTGATGTCTCAGATACCTTCATAAACAGCACCCTGTCCCCCAGCATAAGAGGTGAAACATTAAAGGAACTGGCTGTTTTTGTCCAACATTCCTTTAGCAGATTAGTTGGCATGTTTGGAAGATAAAGGCAAATTTAATCCAGGAAAGTATAAAAGTTCATGACCACTCTGAGAAAATAACTGGAAAAAAAATCCTTTAAAAGGCTAAGAAGAAAGAAGTTCAAGGCTATTTCAAACACATGATCATCTTTTTAAATGTCAAATTCCACCCACTAAACTTCATGCTGTTGTTTTTACCACTCTCATATTTTTTTTTAACTTTATATTTAATTTTTCTATTTTAAAACAGTGAAATCCCATCCCCCTGCTTTCTCTGAAGGCCAAGCATAACACAAAAATACCACAAAACACTGGGTAAAATGCAAACAGATGGTGACGAAACAGACTGACTGCTCTACGATTTTGCCTTTGAAAGGTTTATGTTCAGAGCTTTTGGTCCCTTTCCTTTAACATGGAAGAAGAAAAAAAAACTTTGCCTTTAAAACACCACCAACAAGTGGTTTCAGGTTGTATTTCAGTGGGGTTATCTTGACAATTTAAGGTGTTATCTCTTTTTGTAAGTCTGTTGATTTGCCAGAGGTATGGGATTAGGAGGCACAGTGTAAGAATTATAAATTTAAAAGTAAAAGCTAGCTATCTCAGTAGTCCAAGGTTTTATGAATGTACTTGAAACCCACAGGCAGTTTAACACAATAGCCAAAACATTGTCTTCAGAGCCTTGGAACCAAAAGACCTGATTCTAGTTCCAACCTTGGATCTGTCTAGCTGTGTGACTTTTAGGAAGTTCTTCAACTTTCTGTGAATTGTTCTCCCACCGGTAGAATAAGTAAATAAAACCAGAGCATTTCCAAGGTAACATCCTGCTCTTAGAATCCCCTTTGTGTTCCTCTTTCGTTCATTTTTGGTAAGAGATTTGTGGATTTTTCAGTTTGTACTGAATGGAAGTTTTCTTTTGGTACAGGTGAGTTTCTTTTACATACTCTTCACCAGTTAGAGTCTTGTTTTCCTCTGTCTTCATATGTGGCTTCTCTGCATGATATTCCAGTGATTCCTAGTGTTCTTGTGTTGACAGGAGAAGATTCTGTTGTGGCTTCTTCAGTTCATGCAAGAACAAGGTATCTCGCTGGATGAAGTGGACCAGGATGGCAACAGTGCTGTTCACGTCGCCTCACAGCACGGCTACCTCGGGTGCATCCAGGTATGCAGTGCTGCTGCTCTGCAGACAGGAAGGAGCTATCAAATAATTTTTTTAAAAAAATGGAAATTTTGCTCACTGGGAGAATGCCTGGATTAGTTCACCTTTGTTTTATGATGTAAATAAAGAATTATAATGTTACAGATTTTTATTTCTAAAAATCCACACACATGTAGGCACAAATAGCCCTAAGAGTTTCTCCTGGAGCATCAGAGGGTGTTGAAAGGGACTTGTACTGCTCTCTCAATAGTCCAAAGTAACATCACTATAAAGCCCTAATGCTGACTAAATAAAAAAATATATCCATGTTTTTGGACCCCTAACTAAACCTGAGCCTCTTTGAATGCATTTGAGAAGTTCAGCCCTACTTTAGAGAAAGGGGGAAAACACAGCACATTCTTGCTAGACTACTGCTCCCCTACTATGAAGAATCCTTCTAATACATTTCTGGAAAATCTGTCCTATTTTCCGCATACCTGGGGAGGAGAGATGCACTAATGAGGACAACAGAAGTCCACTTGAGAGACTAAAAATTCGTCGGTCTTGTAGGGCTTTTCCCCTTGTTCTGATCCTCTTGGACCTTAGGCAGGGCCTCGGTCGGCTAACCATTCCACCCAGAGGCCTCAAGCAGCCTCATGCTTTGAGCCCAGCATCCCTTCCAAATGTTCTTGTGTTCAATGTGTGAGATGATATTAAAAGACTGGGGAGCAGAGCCACAGGAGAAGGGAGGGAGGCTCTTCTGCCTGCTCCAGTCCATGTGAGGAGCCCTCCAGGAGCATGGGTTCCTGCAGAAAGAGGCAATGGTATCTCATCATGCCACAGAATACAGAGCTGCCCAAAGCTGAGTCACTTTCCACATGGCACTGAGAGCCATCCCAGAAGGTGGGGGGAGAATGCATGTGAAAACTGGATAGAACTTTCCACCTGGAAAATGTTGAAGGCCCTCAGGGACAGAAGAAAGAGAGAGGGTGACCTAAGGAGGAGGAGGAACAGGTGGGCGAGGAGCAGTAGTGTAGGGACAGCAAAGACTTTGGCAGACAAAGTTGAAGTTTAGGTTTGGCCTGAAATTTTATTTTTGACAATAAGTTATGGTTACCAGGATCAGGCCAATCAGACCATTCTTATCATTGAAAATGCCTGAACATTTGTGAATTTTTCCCCCCACATCTCAGGGAAAGGGAAATTGACAACACATGGTTGAAAGCCATGACTGGAGAAAGTATTTCCACCTCAGCGATTTCATACAGTTCAAAATGTGATGTTCTTGTAACATGTAACACATTTTCCACCTCTACAAAGCAGCACTCCTTTTGGATTATGTACGCATTATTCCCTTTATTGCAAACCCTGTGTGTTCATTTATTCAACAGGTACTTGTTGATGCCCTACTGTGTGCAGGTTAGGCTGTATTTGAAATAGAAAAGTAAGCAGTGAGAACCATTTACTCAAGAAAGTAGAGAGGACTCAGGAAATAATAGGAGACTACACAGAAAAACTTTGAATATAAAAAGGGGATTAATAATAAAAACAAAAGCAGAGATCCAGCAGAAAACTTACTATAGTTTGTACTCACATGAAACTGCTCTTTGAAGAATTGACTTGATAGGAAATAAAGTGTCTGAACATTTTCCCATTATTGTTGGCAAAACACACATCTTCTAATTTAAGGCATCAGACACCAGTTTATAAAAGGAATGGTAAGAAACTGGAAAGTATATAAAGGAAAGAAATTTAAATTCTTCCCAACATCTGCAAAAAGATTAAAGGAGTAGCATTATTTTTTGTGGCAAAAAGATAATTGAATGAACACTGAAAATCATATATTTCCCTTTCACAAGATACTCTAATGTTAAATAGTCTTGGAATAAACTTTTTATCAGCTTGTACTAATAACTGAAAGCCAAAGACATCCAGCTGCTATCACTAATTCTATGTAAGATGCTAGTTTGTTTGTTTTTTTAATAGGGGGAGGGGGATCTGGGGATTGAACTCAGGGACACTCAACCACTGAACCACATCCCCAGTCCTGTTTTGTATTTTATTTAGAGAGAGGGTCTCACTGAGTTGCTTAGCACCTCGATTTTGCTGAGGCTGGCTTTGAACTCCCAATCTTCCTGCCTCAGCCTCCCGAGCCTCTGGAATTACAGGTGTGGGCCTATTTTTTTTTTTTTTTAACATGTGAAGGGAGGCTGTCAGTCCTTCCAGAGCATTCATCACTCCACTTAACACAAATGATGTTTTTGGCGCTAGATACGATGGATGTGGAAACTTGGATAACCTTGGTCTGTCCGCTGGATGTGAGATTTAAAAGAAAACGAGACTGAGAGAGTGAGCAAGGGACCTTATGCAGTGAGGAGGGGACTGAGGAAGGAAAACAGTGGAAAGAAAACTGCAGAGGTCAGAGTCCAGGGGAGTAATAACAGTGTGTGTTTATACTCAGTCTCCTGGAGAGCTCGATGCTGACAGGGTCTCTGGGACACCCCTTGAGGAAGGTGGCAATGGCTTTATAGCGATTTGACCTTTCATGGTGAGTGATCATAAACCAAAAGGAAAAAGAAGCTCCTTAATGCTCTTTGAGATTTAAGTAGCCTAAGAATTTAAATAGATGTATTGTGTGTGGGAAAAAAAACATTACTACCAAAATAAATCTAAAGGTTTGCAATCACACCATGAACTGTCAAAGAATATATCAGACTGTGGTGGTTAATTAATATTGATGTGACAGCTTTTTTGTGTGGAGTCTAATGGCATCACAGTATAAATAGAAACTAAATAAAATTTTTATGCTTTTAAAGTATTGATTTCTGCCACACTGCATCAAATCTCCTCCTCTACTCTTGATACCTTGACCAGATTCCATAGCTTTAGGCTTGTCTTTGACTATTAAAATTTACTTCAAACCAGCTTAAAACCTCAGTCTTATTTCTGATTCAAAGCATTCTCCCAATGCCACCCCCAGCCAAATTAAGGATGTAGGATGAGGAGTGAGGCTTGATCTGCTTTTAACACACCACTTTAGCTCCTGCTCCCCTCTGTCTTTCATGCTGCAGTATCAAAGACAAAGAGAAGGTATGGAGAGAAAAAAAGTCAAGTGTCTCTGCTTAACTGGGAAAGGCCATGTCCTCCCTGAAAGTTGTCACTGCTTCTTTGGCTGTGATCACTGACATGCTCTATGACAACCCTCAGATGACATCTGTCTGATGGGTGCCGTGGTAGGGTCTTCCCCACCAGTACCTGACATAGGAGTCCTGGCCCCCCACTTTGCCTCATCCTCTCCTATAAATTTCTTCACCCTATGGGGCAATCCACTGTCAAGTGCTTCTGGAGAACCCTCTCCTTTTGTGTGTGAATGGGGGATGCCGAAAGCAAGTTCCCACCAAGCTCCCTTCTACAAAGTCTGCTCAGTCCACAAACACATCCTGGCCATAACACATGGTAAGGGTCTGGGCTGCTTCATAGCTTCCCCAATCTCTGCCATGCCATCTCTTCTTTCTTTTTATTTCTGGTCAGGTGGGCTCAGAAAGAGATCAATAAGGTTTGTTACAAAACCAGCTATCAAAGCCCAAGCAAATAGGAACAGATAAGCAGAATTTCATTCCTCCCATCTTACAGGCATCTCTGAATTTACGAACAATTCTTTTGGAACCCAACCACCACAAGCATTATACCTTTCAGGAAGGAAAGAGCTCTATGGAGAGCAGCAGCCTCCTCCCTTTCCCAGACCTCTCCGCCTTAGGGTACAGTAGGATTGGATAGTAGGATGGGTCCAGCTCTACCTTTGTAGGCTCTGAAGGGAGGAGGCAGACTTCAACCCTAAATAGGCTCCAGCAGCTCTCTTTTCTAGGTACTGGTATCACCACCCCCAATTCCACGGGCTTTGGAATAACAAGAGTTCTTTCTTGATCCTGTTACAGTCATTAAAAAATGTTTAGATGGAGGACCTGATACAATTCCATGTTTCTGCATTTTCTGACAGACCCTGGTGGAGTATGGAGCAAACGTCACCATGCAGAATCACGCTGGGGAAAAGCCCTCCCAGAGCGCTGAACGTCAGGGGCACACCCTGTGCTCCCGGTACCTGGTGGTGGTCGAGACCTGCATGTCACTAGCCTCACAGGTGGTAAAGTTAACCAAGCAGCTAAAGGAGTAAGTGGCCTCGAGATTCTGTGAGAACAAAGTTATGATTTGCCATTGTCATGAACAGATTTCAGGCCAAGGGCCATGGTGAGCTCCCTTCATTCCAGTGGTAGAGGGAATTTCCAGCATTCTCCTCTTCTTCTTTTCTTCCCCCATCCTAAGTGTTCACATCCAGTGTTCATGCTGAACATGCCATCTCTGCAGCAGCAAAATGATATTTAAACCACAAAGTGCAGAGCAAGCTCCCTAAAAAGGGAATTTGAGCCACAATAAAAAAGGAGAGAGAGCCTTCATGTTCACATCTCAGGGCCAGATTATGTAGCAGGACATTGAAGGCGCACATATGTATCATCTTCAACCTTCTGTACTTAATATTCTAGGAGATCATCAAGATCATGAGAGAGAGAAAAAAAGGTTAGGGATGGATATATATATATATATATATATATATATATATATGTATATATACTATGTATAACATATATAAATATATACATATAATATATATGTATATATATTATATATAACATATATAAAATATATATGTATAATATATATATATAATGTTATATATAGCATATATTATATATATATATATATATATATATATATAATTGAATACTGATTCCAATTTCCAGGAAACTCTCCCTAATACCATAACTGTAATTTATTGGTGTGCTTTCCAAGGGCTGACCTCAGCCCTTTCCGTGGCCTGAGATAGATAGATAGATAGATAGATAAAATTACAGTAAGTGATTTGGTTACCATCACCAGCAAATTTACTATAAAAAATAATGAATCCTAGGAATAGAAAAGTGTTCACTCTGTGACTGAAGTCAGTTCTTTCCTTGATGTGATTATTAAATGGGTACACATTACATCTCTGGGTGTCAGGGAAGCATTGTCACGTGATATGCTTGAGGAAAGGGGGGCCAGATGAACATCTGTCAGGTGGCTCTCCAGCAAGCTGAAGGATGAAGGAGCTCAAAGCATACCAATAAATTACAGTTATGGTATTAGGGAGAGTTCCCTGGAAATTGGAATCAGTATTCAATTTATTTATATATATACACACACACACACATATATATACATATATATGTACATATATATACATAAACTAGTGAAATCTATAGTATAGTGAATGTATATAAAAAATATTAAAATATATGTGTATAGTGTGTGTGTGTGTGTGTGTCCCCTGGTTATAGCTCATTTAAATAAAAGGGCTAGGGCAGGGGAGAGGCCTTAATTGGTCTAAATCATGCAACAATATGGCAAAGCCTTGGACCTTCTTATCTTCTCTAAACCTGGGGAAAACTCCCTTATCTCTCTACTTTCACTCTCTTGCCTTAAAGGTACTAGTCTATATCCCTACCCCTGCCAGTACCCAAAATAATCTTTTTAATGAGTTGAGACTTTTCATAGAAAATAAAATGAAATTTAAGATAAAGATAAAGGGCTACTTCCAAGCATGCTCTGTCCAGTAAACAAAACTTCCCTGGACAGGTTAGCTAGGTAGGCTTAAAGGTCTCAATATAATTGAAGAAAAAATGTGCACAAAGTAATGAACAATTCAGTAAGTTATTTTCCACAGTGAACATACCTATGTCTTTATGTATCTATGTAGATACTCCTAAAAATAAGTTCTAAGGAAGGGAATTGTTAGAACAGAAAGCATACATCTCGAAAATGTGGATATATGTTGCCTAATGTTTTTCCAAAAATTCTCTGACAATATTCATTTCCTCCAGTGTATGGATATATCCATAATGAGGAACTTCAAAATGATACAACAGAATATTTTTCTAAAATGGAGAAAAGATTAGAAAACATTTTCCTCAGTCTTCATCTGGTGGAATCTGACAAGCTTTCATGAGCTATGCGTCTGTTTTATTGAACTGCTCCAATTTAGCAGCCTGGCTGCTCTCTCTGTTGGTGATCATGGGTTAAAACACACATACACACTAAGAGACAGCATCCCTCCAGTTGTCTCCAGTTAGGCCAGTGACAATGTGAGAGGTTATCTTGTTGACCCTAGTCTTTCACTTCCTGGGTACTCAGTGAAGTTGGCAACACTAGAAATGAACAGAGAAATCCACTTGATAGAGTGCCCTCAGGCAGTGGGGCACCTGTAACAGAAAGTGGCAGATGCAGATACAAAATACTAGTCTTCTCAATGCAAAACTCTGAGGAGAGAGAATTGATATGTCTTCCTACTATGATACCTTCACCAGCTCTGTATAGTTAAATAAACAATTATTCTTTAGAACGACAACCTTCAGTTCTAGTGAAGTCCCAGTCAACAAGTCTAAATATTTTGGGTGGAATTCTGTCCCAACCAAAAATGTATGTTGGAGTCCAGACCCCTAGTACCTCAGAATGTGATGTTATTTATAGATAGACATGGTCTTCCCAGATGTAGTCAAGATAAAATGAGGTCATATGGGTAGGCCTTAATTCAAGATGACAGCTATCCTTATAAAAGTGGAAAATGTAGACACAGGGACATATATACAGGGAGAACATGAAGGCAGCAATCAGGGTGATGCATCTACAAACCAAGGAACACCAAAGTTTTTTTTAGCAAACTCCCCCAAAGTGAGAAAGAGGCATGGACCAGACTGTCACGGCCTCAGAAGGAACCTGTCTGGCCAATACCTTCATTGTGGACTTCTTAGGCCTCCCGAAATATGTGACAATAATTCCTGCTTAAGTTACCTGGTTTGTGGTACTTTGTTACAACAGCTCTAGCAAACTCATACAGTAGGATTTATTCTCATATATTTTCTATGATTTAAGCTGATTGGTCCTTTTTGAGGTCTTCTTTAGAATCTTTCTTCCCCATTCACAGCTGGGATTCCAGCCAGCAGTCAACCCAACTGCCCCCTAATAATTTTTTTGACTGTGTTATAATTCATTTAGGACACCTAATAAATCCTTCAAACAGAATATAATTTTTCTGCTAAGTGCAGTAGCACACACTTGTAATCCCAGCAGCTCAAGAGGCTGAGGCAGGAGGATCGCAAGTTCAAAGCCAGCCTCTGCAACTTAGCAAGGCCCTAAACAACTTAGTGAGACCCACCTCAAAATGAAAAATTAAAAGGGCTGGGAGTGTTGCTCAGTGGTTAAGTACCCTTGGTAACAAAAACAAACAAATAAAAAGAATATAATCTTTCTTCATCCATTTTATCCAATTTCACTAAGCTCTAATGTATTTTTGGTTAATCCAAGGTAAATGAACTGTAGACTGGACCAAATCCAGCCTACCACCTATTTTCATAAGAAAAGTTTTATTAGCACACAGCCACACACATTTGTGTATGTAATGTGTAAGGATGTAGCATGCTACAAGGTAGAGTTGAATAGTGACAGAAGCTGTATTGCTCACAAGCCTTAAACGTTTACTCTTTGGCCCTTTAAGAAAGTTTGCTAGTTTCTTTTAGCAACTAAGATTTCAATAGGTGAGTCTGGCAGAATAAGTAAGATAAAATGAGATCACAGGCTTAAGAATGAAATATTAGGAATATAACTGATAGCATCTCAAAAAAAGAAAGAAAGTGTTGGGGTTTATGGAAAGGTATTGTCAGAATCTGACTCCACAGAACTAGATTTATGCCGACACTGGCTGTTGTTTGCAGTGACCCCCTGCAAGGAGAACACTGGGCTTCTCCTGGTATCCAAGGCATGGTCATTGCTTTAGCACTTGTAACTCATTTATTCCATTCTATGCCCTAGCTCATGAGATCTGCTATCATCTTTTATGCTAATTTTATTCATTTTCCATTGTTTATAACAAATTATCACAAAATTAGTGGTTTAAAATAATACAGATTTAACACTTGGTAGGTCAGAGGCCAGTAGGGTCTTGCCAGACTAAAATTAAGGTGTTGTGGCTGTGTTCTTTTCTAGAGGCTTTAGGATAAGTCCTGTCCTGCTTATCCAGGCCATTGGTAGAACTGGTAAAACCTTCCTATTTGAACATCAGCTGATAACACAACTTATTTCCCTTTTGTCACATAAGGTGACACAGTCACACCTTTTGGGGATTAGGACATGGATGGACATCTTTGGGGGTACCACTCTAGTATTACAGGGCTCTGCAAATACTGCTTATCTCTACAAAGCAAGACTCAGTTGATTTATTTGTTTCAACTTCTGTAATAACTTGTGTTTTCTAAATGAATTTTATACCCTGTATCCTGCATCTAATAAATATATATATTAGACAAACCTTCTGAATGCCCATACATAGTCAAATATGTTATCATTTTAATAGCTGACATTATTAGAAGTAATTTTAATTGATTTTCTTAGTCTTACAGATGAGCATTTAGGCTACAGTTTTTTCACTAATGTGCATAATAAGCATCCTTTTCTTAGGAAAATTTCTAAACTCTGAGGAAAAAGATTATGTACTTTTTAAAGGCTTTTTAATTTAGTGTATCTTATTTCAAATCACTGAAAAATCTTATGTATCCTAGTTTATAGCGAGAGCCGTGTTTTATTTGTCTTCTGCAGACAGACAATGGAGCGAGTCACACTGCAGAACCAACTCCAGCAACTTCTAGAAGCCCAGAAATCAGAGGGCAAGTCTCTCCCTCCCTCACCCAGGTAAGACCAGGCACACTGGTGTACAGAGTTCTTAAATATATTAAATGCCTGAACCTTCTTCTAGATTTCCTTTTAAAGTCTTTTAAGAAAATGACAACAGAAAACATTTTATTCTTATAAACAGGAACAAAAAAGATAAGATGTCACAGTGAAATAATCAATGAACCTAGGGTCCAAAGACCTGAACTCAGATCCCGCTCTGTGATTTTGTTCTACAACAAATTCATCTACTCTGTCTCTTTCATTTCTTGACCTATGAAACAGGAATAAGGATATTTAGGTTAGTAAGGTTGTGGGAAATTGAATTAATTGGGAAAAATATGCAAAATTATGTGTAAACAGTAAAACAGGCAAATTTGGTAGCCTTAAGGTAAAAGGCATGCTGTACTTTAGCTACACTTGCAACTATGGAGTATTTGCAGATTGCTTTGAGAAGTCATTAAGTGATCATTCTTTAACTGCTTTCTCCTTTATGTGTAAATTCAAAATTAAATATGTCAAAATTTAAATTGCTGAGTCACTTTATTTAGCCCAGTAAGAAGTCATGTCGTATGTCCTACATTCACTTTTCAGCTCACCCTCCTCACCAGCTTCCAGAAAGCCCCAGTGGAAATCTTCAGACGCTGAAGATGAGTCTACAGCCAAAAGCAAACCAGGAGTCCAAGAAGGGATTCAGGTCCTTGGAAACCTGTCAGCATCCAGCCGAGCTAGGGCCAAAGCAAAAGACGAAGATTCTGATAAAATCCTGCGCCAGTTATTGGGAAAAGAAATCTCAGAGAACGTTTGTACCCAAGAAAAGCTGTCTTTGGAATTCCAGGATGCTCAGACGTCCTCTAGAAACTTGAAAAAGATCCCTCTAGAGAAGAGGGAACTCAAGTTAGCCAGGCTGAGGCAGCTGATGCAGAGGTCACTAAGTGAGTCTGACACAGACTCCAACAACTCTGAGGATCCCAAGAACACCCCTGTGCGAAAGGCTGACAGGCCCCGGCCGCAGCCCATTGTGGAGAGCGTGGAGAGTATAGACAGCACAGAAAGCTTACACCTGATGATAAAGAAGCACTCCTTGGCATCAGGACGCAGGTTTCCTTTTAGTACCAAGGCCTCTAAATCCCTAGAGGGCCACAGCCCATCTCCCACCTCAGAGAGCAGTGAACCAGACTTGGAACCCCAGTGTCCAGTCTCGGGGAACACTCCTCCAAGCCAGCCCTCTGGAGAGCCCACTCAGTGCAGCCCTGACAGCACTGCGGCCCAGAAGGTCGCCATGAGTCCCAAGAGCGCCCTCAAGTCTCCCTCTTCCAAACGCCGGACATCTCAGAACTTGAAACTCAGAGTTACCTTTGAGGAGCCTGTGGTGCAGATGGAGCAAACTAACCTCGAACTGAATGGAGAAAAAGACAAAGATAAGGGCAGGACCCTCCAGCGGACCTCCACAAGTAGTGAATCAGGGGAACAACTGAAAAGGCCTTTTGGAACCTTTCGGTCCATCATGGAGACGCTGAGTGGCAACCAGAACAATAATAACAACTATCAGGCAGCCACCCAGCTGAAGACCTCTACGTTGCCCTTAACCTCACTTGGAAGGAAGATGACAGATGCCAAGGGAAACCCTGCGAGTTCTGCTAGCAAAGGAAAGAATAAGGCAGTGAGTGATCTTTGGAGAATATGATTTTTTTTTTTTTTTGCCCTAAAATTGGTTCAGTTGTTCCTGACCCTACAGATTGCTGACCTGTACCACTCTGAGGGAATCTCCAGAAACACTCCTAAAGCCAAACTCATGTTTCTAATGAAACATATCATGTGAGAGTACCTATACCCCTTGCTCTGCCTTTAGAAAGAGAAAGAGAGAGGGGGAGGGAGAGACAGCCAGACAGCTATGTAAATAAATCTCAAGAGATTATATTCTGGTCTCTTGATTTTCCTCAATGGCTTGACCTTTGGATGGTAGGGGTTCTAGTCTTGGAGGCATTTCTATAAGATGAAACCTCCAGTTGATGTAAAACCAGGTCCTTTGCTGGCACTGATTCTGCCTCAGGAAGAGCTTGTTCTTTCCCTGTGACTGGATAGTTTACTCTCAAGCCCAATTAAAAGGCACATAAATAGAAACTCTATTTATAAGACTTTCAACTACTCAACTTCCAAATGACCTTTGAAATGAATACACCATGGGGGCCTCCACACTGGCATTTTTAAAACACAGACCCCTAGTGTTGATTGGAGGCTGCAGGAGTCTGAAATGCTTGCCAGTACACAGGGGATGGCAGAGTGTGCCATAAACTACATCTGATAATTGCTTTTATTGGAAACCCATGCATGATAATTTGTGATTTGCATCCATTGAATCAGAGATTTCCAACGTCTTTTTAGACAATGTTTTCTGCATGCTCTGTGTTTCCCACACCATCAGAATACAGCAGAGCAACCAAAATGCACAACTCTCTGTGGAAAAAAATGACCCAGATCATCCACATTCTATCTAGATAAACCACCCAGCGGAGTGTCAGATCTTCATAACATATTTTTGACAATAATGGTAAAGTCCTAATCACACCAAAGTCTTAAGAACTGTCCCCATTCTTTCTATGCTACCAAATCAATCAATGGATTCAGCCAATCCATTGATTGAATAACAATTTTCATATTATATACCAATTTCTTTTTGTAAATTGCCCTTATTATAATAGATTTTAGCATGTGATTGTTCCATCTAGGCCCAGATACCATACCTCTTGGATTAAATATGTCAAAATTTAAATTGTTCAAATAAAACTTTTCCAAGTAACTTAATAGATTCTCTTAATCAGTAGAAAATGGAGAATCCTCTGTATAGTTTCCTTACTCTCTAAAGTGTTTCTCCAGCTGTTGTCCTCTGCCCTGTCTCCAGCATGCTTTGTGTTACTGGGGCTGTGCATGTGCTGAGCTTGTTGCATGTTTTCAGATGATTTTAATTGCACCTCTTTAGGAGATGTACAGCAGCTGCATCCATCTTTCCTCTAACACGCTGATTGAAGAGCATCTGCGTAACTATGCACGGTACGTGGTGCCTGGAGATGCATTGTGCAGCATTGCCATGGCTTTGCTTTGAAGTGCATGAGCTTTGAAATTACGGACCTGTAGAACCTTTCAGCAGGTGATGACACCAAGGAAGAAGAAAGTTGCAACTCTGCCCCCAAAATAGAAGCAGGGGCAGATGGTAACTAGGACTTAGGTAGCTAGTATCTGTTGGAAGGGCTGTGTTCCAGCATCAGTCAGAAAATCTACTCATTTCACAAACTTGCTGTGTTTCTTAGTTGACTTTGGCTTGGTCTTTGTTTTAATGGAGTCAAGTACCAAGTAAGTATTGAAATTAAATTTCCTGTCGTGGATAGAAGGAGTCAGCCTCCAATCAGAATCAGAACTTTGAAACAGAGCTGGAGTTTTATTTCAGGGCTGACTATAGATGGAAAGCTCCTTTCATCACCATCCTACTAATCTTGGGAGAAGCAAGCTTTGCCAGGCTGAAACTTCTCTAGCTTAGCATTTTGAACCACAATCCCTATCCAGAATCCCACCAAAAAAACAATTTCCCAGAATTAGTAACCAATACAAAATGCATGGGCTCTGTGCATGAAAGAGAGAAGATCGGGTCCCCAGTGATTGGGGTACCTCCTTGGGCAGAGTCCTTCTGCAGCATGGTGTTCATCCCCGTGCTGGGAGTATGCACAATTTCCTAACCAGGAGGAGAGCGGAGGAGCAAAAAGTGAGCAGCCCAAGGGGAGCTAATGAGCTCACTGTCTTTTGACTGGTTTATTTGAGTAAAGTTAATTCCCCAAACCCATTTTAAAAGGAGACTGTTGCTTTTAAATCATGTAAATAATTAAACCATGACATGCCATTAAGCACTCTTCCAAAATTCTCCGAAGAATGTGTGTGTAGTGTGTGTGTGTGTGTGTGTGTGTGTGTATGAGAGAGACAGAGAGAGAGAGAGAGAGAGAGAGAGAAGGAGGAGGAGGAGGAGGAGAAGGAGAGGGAGATAGGAGAGAGAGAGAATTTATTATTCATCTGGATTTTAGTTCAGTATACTAAAGTGCAAGAAAGTAACTCTCTTTTTTTTCCCCATCTCTAAATCAGCTTTCATCTGCTCTAGGTCTGTACTCAGGCTAGAGGGAGATTAAATCTCAGTCATGCGAGGGGGTGCCCTAAAGGTCTTATGAATTAGTAAACTGAAGTAAGAGCCTTGGAGATTCAGTGTTTGCTGGTCACCCGTGGTCTGCTTGGGTACCACTCACATGTGGCCTGAAGGCAGGTACCTGGACTGCTTCCAGCCATCCTAGGGCAGAGAATCTTGGCCAGGGCTGAGAGTCAAAGGCCTGCGGTAGAAAGGGAAGAGGAAGAAATACTCCCCTCCCAGACACCGGGAGTAACCCACTTATATTTCTTTCAATATAGTTTCCCCACGCTTATATCCTTCTCTGTCCCCATGTTGGGTTGAATGTGTCTTCTGCTGCCTGGGAAATTCTCTTTTGTCCTTAATCAGAAGTCACTGGCAACACCCCCAGGAAAGGAAGCACACTTGGCAAATTCCCTGGGAGCAGGAAGGAAAATGAATACCTCTCATTTCTTCCATGCTTCTACAGCACTGGGAACAAGACAATTAGTATCACAATAGATTCTCCTGCCAGAAATATTTCATCCTGTCTTTTTACAAGCAAAGGAACAAAGCTGAGCAATTTGCTATAATAGGATTACAAAAATCAGAGCACAAAATGAGGTTATGGGGCTACTCGAATATCTGACACTAGGTTAGCACTTTCCCACTCAGCTTAAGGAACCATCCCTCCAATGGCTCAGTTCTGCACACTCCAGATTCTCTGGCTTTATGTATTAGAAAAGTTTGATTTCAGCACTAACCACTTGGAAACCCAGAAGTAAAAATAATGTATTAAATAAGTATCCTGACCCCTTCTCCTCCCTAACCTATAAATTAACCTACAATTTATCATAGTTTTAATTTGTCATGTGTTTCCATAAAAATGAGACACTAGTGTTTTTCATATTGCAGAGAAAAATGTTTCACTGATTCACTTATAATCACACACAGGTGAAGAGAACTGGCCGGATTCATTCCTTAGATAAATCAAGGACAGGTCTCTATTTCAAATAAAGAGTCCTTGGAGAAATTAAGATTAGAGTAAAATGCTGGCATGAAAAATACCTGATTGACTCTAGTGCCTGCCTCGTTTCACCAGTGGGACCCAACTACAAGAAGAAAGGAGCCCATGTATTTATCAACAGCCTCAATTCTTGGCTCCAGAATTACTTGAAGACCAGATGGTTCCTCTCAGGTCACAGGAATTACCTAAAAGTCACTGTCCTGTCAGCAGAGGCCTGGGGAAGAGTGGGGCAATGGATCTCAATTCCAGAGATATATGAAATCTCATTTCAGTTCCTAAGAAATTTTTATTTTTCCTAGTAAAGGAAAAATTGGAGCAATAAATAGAACATTTTAAAGAATGTCAGCTCTGTAAGGGAGTTCTGTTTGCTATTTGTTTTTCTAAATTGGTCACAGTTTGATAGCAAAGAATCTAAATTTCTTTTCAATGCCCTTTAAAATTAGATTCAACCTTATTGCTTTCAACAGCTTTCCTAGTGTGTTTCAACTGCAGAGGATGAGTTGGTTTATAACAAGCAGATTTATCTTTACTTTTTCTTATGAAAGATAAGTTTGTTTTGCGTTATTACAACTCAAAGGGAATTTTTGCAATTACCGGTCTTAAAATGCCAATGAAACATTTTTTTCCCAGAGTTTAAGTCTGTCTGAGATCCCTAATGCTGAAGTGCATGTTGATTCCAGTTAGCAATAGGCAGAAGGTGGTAATCTCTGGCCACAGCCAGTGACACCTTCTCTGATCATGGTGGCTCAGCCTCCTGGTGAAACCCTGATCCTAGCTCCAGCATTAGGGGAGACTCCTTAAAAAGACATTTAAGCAATAAACGCCATTAGTATGGATTGTACTGCCAAGGAATTAGTCACACTGTGAATTATATAGGCAGAGCCAAGAGCTAACATCAAATATTTTGCACAGATTAAAAGGTTCTTCAAAAGCCACTTCACTGTTAAGCCCATGATGATGTGACATCTGCTATGACAATGGTCATCTGCTGTGCCCCATAGAGGGTGCAGAAGGGGAACCTGCCTTGGAAATCACACTCATCCCACCAGGACATTCTTTCATCATGCTATTTCTGGTTTAATGACAATCAGAAAACCTAAGAAGAAACAACTCCTTTCTTCATTTCCACCCTCCCTTCCACACTCCCCAAAGTCCAGTTGTGAATTACATCATACCAAATGGGGGAGATATTCCATTCATGTCATATTCATACTACATGTCTGCCACCATTAGGGGCATCTTTGTACATTAAAAGAGCAGAGTCTGTCTACAAACTCCTTTAAGTCAAAGAAGTGGTTGGTTGGTGGAGACTTAAGAAAACCAAATAGAGACTCTAGCTGGACACCTCCTAGTGCCTTTGCCAAGCATCACTGCCCCAGCCAGTCATTAGGCTTTTCCTTGCTACACTGAGATCAGAGCACAGAGGTAGAAACTTTCCTGGATGCCACATCCCTGGTTTACCTGGCCATTCATTTCAACAGCATCTTTAGCACTGAGCCACACATTTTGCGATACCAGAATGAGGCATGATTTCTGAACTCTCAAGAGAGAATTAAAGTAGGATACAATTAAAGCATGGTAAGCTGTGTTAAAGGGAGAAGAGCAGTAAGAATACTACTGAAAGCAGTGCTCCTTGATGGCTCCATTGTACCTCCCTGGCTTCTCCCAGGGTCTAGCTTGGTGCCTGGCACATGGGAGGGACTTCATAAATATTTGCAGAGAAGCAGAGGTAGGGAAAGAAAAAGGAGGCAGGGAAAGGAAAAGAGAAATGAGAGGAAAAATACCGAAGTCTATCTCATAGAAGAAAGCATTGTCTGTATTAACCCTTTGGGGTCACAAGTTGTTCTTCCTACAGTGAGTTTTAGTTCGAGCATTTCAAGTACAAGTTTTCAAACTTTAAACCAGAACCCCAGTTTTTTAGTAGGTGGAATGTACAGTGGTGCTCTCAGTAAACCTTTAAGGAAGATAGCAAAAATCCCATTCTCTGTTATCATCAGTGGAGATGTGTTGCATGCTGTGGACCATTTCACACTGACCCTGTTAGCGTGTGTCTGGTCTCCAGGGGCTGTGGAAATATGGAATCTGTGCCTAGATGAGTCAGCATACTCGATTACTTGCAAAACTGATATTTAAATGTAAGCCTTTTCTCCTTTCCAATTTTGGTCACTCAGTATGTGATTTCATATCCAAAAATGAAATCAAGGAGCAGCAAATTATCTGAATGATTTGTGCCAGAATTACCCAAACACTTTTTGTTCCTTTGAATACTGGTGATTCAGGACTACATAATTGAAGGGTTTGGGGAGAACTGAATTATTATTATATTATTCATATAAATGTCTCAGGATAGCATTTTACTTGGTCTAGATTCAACTCTAATCATGCTGGGTTTTGTTCTGCAAAAAGAGTATTCTTTGGGGGGTTTTGAATACAGCACCTCATTTTAAAGCAGAAGTGTTTCCATCAAAGTGTAAATAAACTTTATTATCTTTAGACTACAACCTAAGCCTTCTTTTAAAAACCTTTTAATTTTATTTTTTGTCAAGATGATGTAGATATAATAATACATATAATAATAATAATAGCATTATAATAAAAATTTACTGTTCCTTGTGCTCAACTCACCCCATTCTCTATTTCTACCCCTCTGAATTAACCACTTTCCCTTCAGATATTTTCTCTAGTATTATTTTTCTAAAACATCCTTATGAATTTTTAATTTCAGATGTTATCCCTATTATAAACTGGCATCCTACCATAGAAAGTAAAAATAATGACAGCACTTAAAATATCCTAGAGAAGAGCTGGGAATATATCTCAACAGCAGAGTGCTTGCTTAGTTAGCATGAGGCCGTGGGTTCAATCTCTAGCACTGCAAAAATAAGACAAAAGTAAAATATCCTAGAGAATATTCCAGATGCTTTACATACATATACTGATTTAATCTTCACAGTGACCCTATGTGGCAGGTACTATTATTATCCAAATTTTACATATTAGAAACAGGCACAGATGATTACGTATCTTGCCTGATACGTAACAATGATTATAAATCGTTGGAACCGGGGTTTGAATTTAATCAGCCTGGCTCCAAAGTCCATATTCTTACCAATGAACCAAATTTGTCTTAGCATCCAACTCTCGTCACCTCCCCACACATTCACTTCCTCTCTTCCGCCATTAGTAAAGTTACATATTGGGGTTAAATCAGTATTCAGCATTTACTATGATTATGGCTACATAAATATTAATCACAAAAGATCCATGTTATATACTATGTTACATATTCTTTCTCATATAATTTTATGTTTTCCCTAGAAATAATTTTGATCCCTTATTTTACAATTCATTTTTTAATTGATTTTATTATTTTTTTAAATACATGACAACAGTAGAATGCATTACAATCCTTATTACACATATAGAGCACAATTTTTCGTATCTCTGTATATAAAGTATGTTCACATCAATTTATACCATTATACATGTACATTTTTTTGCATTACGATTCTTTTTTTTTAACGAAAGAGAATTTTTTAATATTTATTTTTAATTTTCGGTGGACACAACATCTTTTTATTTTGTATTTTGTATGTGGTGCTGAGGATTGAACCCAGCGCTGTGCGCATGCCAGGCGAGCATGCTACCGCTTGAGCCACATCCCCAGCCCGTACAATTCTTAATACACATATATTTCTAAACACTTTGCTTGAGACAAAAGCCGTCTTTCATTTCTTTCAAAAAACTCTGGTGTCTCTCACTGTGTCTGTTTGTGGATCCCTCCTCTGGGTTCCTGCCTGAGTCTGCAGCTGCATTCTGGCACTGCCACAACTCTGTCATCCTGGATCCTCCCAACTGTGTCATCTAGGAATTTGCTTCTACTTCTCTCCTGTGTAGACTCTATTTGCTGCATCTGACTTTTCCTCTTTTTGAGGGGAGAGGTTATTCTTGTGGTCTAGTAAATACACTTTCCCATCTTAAGAAGATGAATAAATGCTAAATTTCTTGAGAACTTACATATTTGAATATATCTCGATTTACTAGATTAGGCATGTTTGGTTGGGTATAGAATATTATATAATTGTATATTATTTTCTCTCAGATTCTTGAACACATTATTTCATTTTCTTTTGCTTCCAATGTGCCTATGGAGAACTTCCATTCCTCTCTGATCACTAATCTCTTGGAGGTTTTTATGGTTTTCTCTTTATCCTCACTATTTTGATTTCTTCTTGCTTTGCTGTGATATGCATCTGCTTTCATTCCTGGGCCATGGGCACACAACAGGTATTTTCCAATCTGGAACCCTATGTGCTTCAACTCTGCAAAATGTCTTCTATAATTTCTTTGAAAATTTTCTCTTCTCCATTTGCTCTGTTCTTTCTTTCTGGAAATCCTAGTATTCTAAAATGTGGGATATACCAGATTGATCCTCACATTTTCTAATCTATCTTTATCCATACTTTGGCTTTTTCTAGTTCTAATTTCTAGGACATTTACTGGAATTTCCCTTCCAATTTTTTTTTAACTTCTGCAGTGATAGTGTTAATTTCCAATAACATTTTATTGGTTTTATCTTGGTTCCTTTTTTATAGCATTATATATACAAATCTTACTTAAATTTTTATAAACAAATACAAGTGTGTATTCTGTCTTCTTTTTTTACAATAGAGGTAGCTTACCATATACAGTTTTGCTTTTTACTTTTTTTCAGGTAAAATGTTGGAGGTCTTTATGTATTAGAGAGAGAGCTTGCCATTCTTTCACATAATTACTAGCATCTTCAGCAACATCTTTTGTTTCTAATTGCTGCATCTTGAAGTGCAAATCAGTTTGTGGGTTCCCCAATGATAGGCCCAGGTTTCTGCTTTTTCTTTTCTGTTAATTCCAAATATCTATTCACCTCATTTCTGAAATATAGATATTTTGTCTCTTATCTTTTTTCTCTCATTTCCCTTATTCATATAGGCTTATGCCTTTTTAAATTTTACTTACTTAAATTTAAGTGTTAGTTTGCAAGAAAGGTAATAAATGTGTGCATTTAATCTATCATGCTTAATTAGAAGTCCCTAGAGCATCTTTTGAAAAATTAAGTTTTTATTTTGACTTTTTTCCTTTTCCTTACTTGCACACTGATAATTCTCTGAAGTTTTATTCAGAGGAATAAATAGAAATAAGAATTATAACTTTCCGATGATGATGATCAAATGCTTATAGAACATTATGAATAAGCTAAGTGGCATATTAGTCTGTTTTGCATTACTATTACAAAATATCTGAAGCTTAGTAACTTTATAAAGAAAACAGGCTTATTTTGGCTCATGTTTCTGGACATCTGATTTTGATGGGTCACAAATCTAGTGATGACTTTCTTGCTGGTAGAGTGCCAGGGTGGTGCAGGGCATCACATGGTGGAAATTAGGGAACACAGATATAAATATCCTCTGGTTTTCCTCTTCTTATAAAACCGTCAGCACTGAATCATGGGGGCTCCACCCTAATATCCTTATCTAATCTTAATGACCTCGCCAAATCCCCATTTCTAAGTATCAGAGTTGAATTATTTCCACCCCCTTGATAACTCACAACTGGGATTAAAGTTCAACACATGAACCTGCATACCATATCCAAGCCATAGTAGTAAGCAAGCAAGATTTTGAGGTCAGAAAACCACAATTGGGGCTCTCTGCATCCAAGCATGTTCTCATGTCAGGGAGAACCATTACCAGAAACAGTTTGGTCTTCTCTTATGTAGCAACGCCCAGGAATTTAGTGGTGTGTAGGCTTTCCCACCATAAGGAGGTAGGTTCTCTCTGAAAGCTTTTTAACTCAAATAAAAAATGAATGAACTTATTCAGAGGATAATTCATTTAAAAATCAAGGCTATTCCATGCCTTGAGTTTGTTTTTGTTTTTTAGTTGTAGGTGGACACCACCATACCTTTATTTTATTTATTTATTGTTATGTGGTGCTGAGAATCGAACCCAGTGCCTCATACAAGTGCTCTACCACTGAGCCACAACCCCAGCCTGTACTTGGGGGAGGTATCATGTACTTGGGAGGTATCATGTATAGAGGGGAAAACAGCCTTATCACTCCCTATTTGCCTTATTTTCTCATAGATTTACCTACTTATGGTTTTTCAACATGCTAATTAGTAATCACCCAAATAAAAAGCATTTTTCCTTAAACTAACTGGAAAATAAAATGTGTCACCAGAGATCTTGTTTTAATCAAGTATGAAAATCTCTTGCCTCCATTCAGCCATCAGTACTATTCTACCTCGCTTGATCTGATAAAATCCTCTTGACTGTAGGATGCCTGGATTCCAATCAGTGTGACTGAGAAATTACTCTGGAGCCAAATGCAAATGTGCTCAGCAAGTATGTGTTGTGATATGACTCTTGCTTTTATTGTTGAAAGAGTGGTATACATGAAAAGAAAATAATTTGCCTTTTGGAATGAAGTGTTCTTCAATTGTGGTTTGTGTATGGATAATTTTAATTTTTGGTGAACTGTTCAGTGGCATTGTCTTGTAACTGGACCATAGTTTTATCTAATTTTGGCCTGTGGTTTCTTTTCTATTTAGACATAATGACATCAATAGAACAGTGAAGAAATCTTACAGCATAAAGCACATTGCTGAGCCAGAGTCAAAAGAACTCTTTTTGTAAAGCCCTTTTCTATTCTCTCTCACTGATGCCCTTTGGACACCATTGGAAATTACTGGACTATCCTCTGTGGAAACAGAACCACAAGAACAATGCCTCACCAGCCGAAGAACAGAATATCAGGATGCCTTAAATTTATATTAGAGTATGTCATATACATTTTTGGGTGATATCTGTGTATATATATATATATATATATATATATATATATATATATATATATATATCTTGTTTTTCACAAGATGCTGTTTAAAAGCATGACTGTTTTTAACGTATGTATGTTTTTAACGTTGGATTGGCACCCCGTGCACAGGACATTCACCAAGCCACTGACACTGTCTTGGATTTCAACAGTTGCATGAGTATTCGCTAATGTTGGTTGAACTTCCCTTCTCCCTTAACATGGGCAGTGTTGGCTCTGTTCCTCAATGAGACCAGGTCAGTGGTATTGTTTTCTGTCACGAGTGTTTTTTCTGTCATTTCTACTTTTTGTATAAAGGAAAGAAAAAAAAACAATGTTAACAGCCACCTATAAGCTTGGGGCACCAACTTTCTAATAAATCTGTGATGTTCTGATTTCTAAGGGACTTTGAAAGTATTTTGATTGCTGATATTTGATTTCAAGAACAAACTGCTCGGTTTAACTGTTTTCCCATAGGGGTCAAATAAAACATTCTATATTTCATTAAATACTAAAGGACAAGTAAAGTAAAGTAAGCCAATCCTTCTGCTTTCCCAGATCTTGGCACTGACATGGGAAAATACAAATGACAACCAAGGATTTAGTCCCTTCTTGGGTCACTTTTTTCTTTTGCTTCCAACACATTATAAGCCTTGTCTAATCCCTTTAGGAGACAGTGTGGAGCCCCAGTTCATAAGAGGCTTGTTGTTGATGCAGCTCTTTCAATCCATGTAAGCAGTAAGTTCCAAAAGGTTTCATCTTATCATGTAAAAATATATTTCTGTTGAAACTTCAAGAGTCTTATTTTCAATGCATTGGCATGGCCTATAAGAGGTCTGACAAGTTTTAGTTTGAAAGTAGAATGTATTCTTACCAGTAGGAGGGAGCACAGTGTTCTAGCAATGTTAGGTAGTCTCATGTGGACCATTTTGCAACCCGGTATGCAGAGCAGACTGAATCCAGAGGCAATCTTCCCTGTGTGGATCAGCCTGGGGTTGATGAGATGCAGTGAGGTATGAAAGAAGGTTTTAATATTTGAGTGCCTTTGATGTACCAAACACTATTATGTGGTGATGCCACTACTTGCATTTTATAGATTTTAAAATTAAACTTAAGCAAGTTTAAGTCCTGTGTCCGATGTAACACTTCTAGTAAATAGCATAGCTAGGCTTTGGTACAATTTTGCTCATGAGCCCACTTCATTATCCTGTCTGTTCTACACTATGCTACACTAGTGCATTGACTAATACACAGGGGCATGAATTCTGGAGTTGGCTCTACTTCCAGAGGACTCTTCAGTCTTGGACTGGGGACAGGGCCTCCTCAAGAAACCTGGAAAAGGGCAAGATTGGCCTACATGCACATCTAGGAGGTAGTTTCCTTCCAACTTAGAGAGCAACATGTCAATGGATTTTAGCCAGCTGGCTCTGTCCTTGTTTGGGCCCTGTAAATTCCTGCTATTAGAGCCTGGTGCCATGTGTACTTCTGCGTTTCTCACAGTCTTGTTCTCAAATAAGAGACCATATCTCAGATTTTGGTCCTTTGGCTTCATGTACCCTCTTTGATTGATCCTCATATTTCATGGTTCTCTCCTGTTGCTCGAGATTCTAATAAGAGAATATGTGGCAAGCCCATAGCATTTCCTGTGGTTTTTGCTTGGTTCAGAGGTGACATGAGTCACATAATGGTGACTTTTAGGACTGGGCCCAGATGGGACCTGCAAAGATAAGGGACTCAAATAGTGCTCACCCTGTCCCCAGGAGGTCCCAGTTTGGTTCTGAAACTGTGTTCTTAGAAGTGAAAGATGAAGGGATCTGGGCACTCTACAGAGATTGTCTAAGCAAGACAGATGGATCCATTAAACATAGCAAAGAAAATTCTAAGAGTTTAAAAGACATTACCTGACAATTCAACTGTTTGATGCCAATAACATATTAGACCCCACAGTATTTTTTTAATATTTATTTTTTAGTTGTAGCTGGACACAATATCTTTATTTATTTAGTTTTATGTGGTGCTGAGGATTGAACCCAGGGCCTTACACATGCTAGGCAAGCACTCTACTGCTGAGCCACAATCCCAGCCCTAGACCCTACAGTATTAAGTAAAGAAGAGCAAAGAATAAAATAGGTAAAATATAAAAGTTGAACAGATTCAAATTGGCCAGACTGCAATACAGGGCTTTCTATGTATAATGATGTTGCTAAGACACTAAAAATGCTGGCCATTAAATTACACGTGTACAGTATCTTTACTGTCCAGGTTCCTTATGAAATGGATAAATTGTGGTTACTTGAAATTGATAGAGATGAGGATTTTCTTACCACAAACTTAGTCTTCTGTGGCATTTTAAAAATGAAAACACAAACTTATTTTTCTATAGGAATTGAAACACATTTACATGTTAAAGAAAAAGAGTGGGATTCCTTTCAGTAAGTAGAGCTTTGTGGCTCCTGCCCAACTCCCTCCCATTGGGCTAATAAAATGAGTAAAGCTCTATCTGCGTGCCTAATTACATGCAGCAGAGTGGGAAACTCAGTTCCAGTGTTAAAAAAAAAAAATCACAACATCTGTCAGCATCTTTTAAAGATTGGCTTCTTTAATGTCTCTAAAGAGATTTGTATTTCCAAAGTTCAACACATCAAATTAAGAATGTTTCTTAGAAAAGATAACAAGACACCAAACCATCACCACTTTGAACAGATTGAATTTCCATTATTTATTCTCATTAAACATTAGTATCAAGATTTTGATCCTAACAAAGTTCTGGATGTGCATCATGGGTTGGGACTAGGGATGCGACTCTCAAAGGATATCTTCAAGTAAGATTTTGAGAAAATTTTCTCCAAAGTGGATAATCAGAAACAACATGATGATACAGGATAAAGAAAATAACTATAAAAATACTCAATTTCTGTGATACAAAAAAATATTTAATTTCCTCGATACACAATGGGTTTAGGTGTTTTCTTCCATGCCCAGTGTATTCTTGAGACTGAGATCAGTTGATAAAGCTAAGGAAGAATAAGAAATTTATTTCAAGAGTTGGTACCATTTCCACCCCTCCCCCATAAAAATGGAGTTCACCCTCTCTGTCTACTGCTCATAACACTCATTTTTGATGGGCCAAACTTTATGTCCTGTGTTACCTTTATTTCCCTTTTTTCTTTACTGCATAGTTTTACATGACTTTTCCAGCACTTGATTCCCATGTCCTAGTGGGATGAGAAGTTCATTGATCTCAACAGCATCTCAACATCACTTCTCATAGATGGTGGTTAGTAAATACCTGCTAATGATTTTTTCAACCCATGTATCTGTTTTTCTTTTCATTTCTTCCTCAGTTTTCTTTTTCCCCTTTCTCTCCTTTTCTTCCCTTGTGTCTTTCTCCCACTTCCATTCTCTTCCTATGTTCTCCCCTCCCTTACATTCTTCCCTCCCTTCTTTTATTTCCCTCACTCTTCTCTACCCTCTGTTCATAAAAATCTCAAAACCTCACATACAGGATCTTCCTTGAAAGAATACTGGCAAAGGAATTACAGGAAGTAGAATCATGCCAGACCCAGGTATTTTACAAAAACAAAGTGAGTCGCCACTCCCTCCTGGCCGTGCATGTAAGTAGAAGAAGCATCTTTCTGTATGCTGATGAATTCAGCAAATGGTGATTGAGCCCATACCAGGCACTTTGCTGGGTACTCCTCTTGATTATCAACATGCCCAGATGTCCTGGAAACTAGGAATGGCCTTGTGACCCAATCTGGGGTCAATAAAAGATAAGTAAAATTCCTAGAGGGGGTTCAAGAAATATTGTACAGTAAGAAGTTTACCTGACACTAATATTTTGTGCCTTGTACATCACTCTTCTTTCTCTCTGGTGTAGAACACAGACTGTTTAGTCTTGAGGATAAAAATCTCATGCCAAGAAGTAGAAAATAGGAAGGAATCTGTTTCTTGAGCACCTGTACAAGCTCTGAACTGTACCCTATATTATTTGTTGAGTAAAAATAAACTCTCTTAATGGATTAAATCACTGATATCTGACTTGGCATAGGACTAGCCAAATATAAAACCTAGTGTTCATACTCAGTTGACAGAGTATACATGCATGTCATTGAAATAAAGCAGCATTGCACGTCACTGTATTCTATTTACTGCCAAGTCTGGGGGACATTTGGTTGTGCTCTATGATTAAAATATGTTTTGCTGGTTAGATGAACAGTGCATACAAAATCCTATACAACCATGTGAAACCACCCTCTGAAACAAAAGATATGTTCCCCAAGTGCTGACAGTACTGAAAGCCCAAAGCCCTCATGTGTTAACCTTCTCTAAGAATCACCCTTGGCTGAAGAGAACACACCCTTGCCCAAGAGCATACCCCTTCCTCAGGCAACCTGTATGCAATGACTGGTCAGTATGGAAATACACAGGTCCAGCCCTTCACCCAACTCTGGACAACTCCAAAGAGCCATCTCAACTTAAGAACTAATCATGGGTTTGGCCCAGCTTCTTCCTCTGCCTAATCCCATTTCCTTACCTTTTTCCTCTTTTCCTTTCATAAATGTTGATCCCAAGAGCCACTGCAATATAATTCCTGCACACTAATCTGGATGTCATAATCTATTTACCAGGAAATTCCATCTGTGACAGAATTTTAGCATGATCAAGTATTGAAGAAGTCCCAGAGTAGGACAGAAACTTGTTTAGTTGTGTTTGGTGCTTAAAGTGATGTGTGTATCAGAGGACTCTTCTTTAAAAAACACCTCACACATCCCTCAAAGTGGTTTATCTCTTAATATTTTGAGGACATACTGTAATCGATTTCAGATCATTATATCTATGTGGAATTTAGACCATTCTCCCATTAGGAAGGTCCAGGGTCAAGCCAAAATATGTGTATTAGGGAAGAACTATTTAGACAAATTTCAAAGAAATGCAGTTAAAGTTATATTCTACTTGAGTATAATTTCATTTGTTTGGTAACAATGTTAAATTGAAAATATAGTAGCCTGTGTCATAAGTATTAAAATGTGCCATTCCCAGGATCCTTCCATGCACTCTGGGCCCAGATGTAATCCATCGACTTCATTTTGTTGCTGATGGGTGAACTATACCCCACGTCTTTGCAGAAATATCATCTCTGCTCTATGGCATTTATCAAAAATCAAATTAGGAAATAGCCATATAGGAAAAAAGTTTCCATTTTTTTTTTTATAAAACTGTTATTGAAACCATCAGATGTTTAAAAAGTCAATGGTTCTATAAGGGGCCATAAAATAAATTCCTCTTAGAGTTAGTGCTAGGGGAAAATATGCCTCTAGATAAACTGGCATGTTTCTTTTTATTAGCTAATAAGAACCTTATATAACTTATATTTTCCTTTTTGACTTGCCTGCCAGGAAAAGGTCAAAAGTAAAGTTTGCATTTAATCTCAGTAGCAATCCTTAGCCTAGGTATCTCTAAAGTACCTATTTCTCCCACTCCATGCCTTTCCTTTGTTCTTATTTTTTTAATCATTTTAATGGTTAAAACATATGTGTCTTCTATTATAAGCCACCCTAGCCTTTCTGAAAACAAGTCACCTGAAATAAATACATATATTTTCATTATTTTTTCTCCATTACCCCCTACCCACCCAATCTTGCTCATTCGATTTAATTTAAGTGATTGTTCAAACCAACACTCCATGTGCAGGCAAAGCTGGTTCAAAGCTTAAGACAATTGTTACCTCCAAAATGTTCATTGTTACTAAAGATGGGAGAACTCACATGCACAAACATGGAAAGATAAGGAATCCTATGGGCCTCAGCATCTCAGAGGGCAATGTTGATGAAAGAATCGCTCTAGATTTGGCTGAGATCAAGTAGTTGCCTTGTAAGGCTGGTATTTAACAAGAGACAGACAAATATATTCAGGTACAGTGGTTGGCTACCCATGTCCTCATGTACTGTAATTAAGCATCAAAATGAGGATTGCAAAATGAGGATCAAAACATATCACATACAACACATCCACAGCCAAATGGCCTTACCAGTAGCTTGCCAAACTCAGAGAAACTTGGAAAATGTTCATTCAGTTCTTTCCTGAAGCAGGCAATATTTCTGAACCCACAGAAAGCAGAGTTTTAGAAATTCTGTGTTATTTTGCTTGTCTTCTTGCTGTAACTTGAATCTAGGACCTGAGTTCTAGACCCTGTGAGGCTTCCTCTGACCACTTCTTTGCTCAGCACAATGCATTCCTCTTGTGGCCACTGTGAATTGCCATCGGGGCTCTCCTCAGGAGGCCCTGCTATGGGAACACAGTCTGCTCATGCACTCAGCCCAGGGCTACTCCCTCCCTGGTTTTCTTAGCCAGTGCCCGAGCACAGCAGAGGTATTAGAACCAGGGCATATCTTCCCATCATGGGAATCTGGCCTGGCACTCCCCTTGACCTGGTCAAAACTTTCTCCAAAATGTGCTGCAGTCTGAGGTTCTTCCTGCCCAATCCTCCTTCCTAACTCACAGTATCAGATGCACATCACTGCCTGAGGGCTCTACCTACTCCTACTCCTCCCCTCTTTACTCTTCTCTGGCATGTCCCCCCAATAAATCCCTTGCACATCTATTTTGGTTTTATGGCTGCTTCTCAGATGACCTATCCCAACACACTCCGTGACCCTCCCTTGCTTGGTAGGGAGACGGTAGTGCTTAGGATTCTGCAGCTGGGGTGCTAAGGACACAGTCCATCTTCCTCACTGCAGAGATTAACTCAGAGCTACTATGTGAGTTCCCTGTAACATACGGTAAGAGTCTTTATTTCTTTCCCCAACTTGAGTTATATTACAAAAAGTCATATTCTGTTCCCTTATGGTCTATAAATTCCAGGCTCAAGGACCAGATCCTGGCTTAGAGGGATGAAGAAAGGAGCTGGAGGTGGGGGAGGTGGTATTTGTGGAGGAAAGCTGACTCCACAACACAGAAAATATGTTATCTGAATTCAAGGTATAGAAAGCTCATAAGAAGTGAAAGAGAGCTGCCCCTTTAGTGCACGTGTTTTCTCTCTCTCTCTCTCTCTCTCTCTCTCTCTATATATATATATATATATATATATATATATATATATATATATAATTTGTCCTTTACTCAAAAAATTTTGCTATTCACAGATGAACATTATTATTCTCCATATTTATATGAAATTAGTATAAAGAGCATGTAAGCAAATTGCTAAAGTCATTTTCTCCTATTGGTACCATTTATTTATATTTATCTATTTTGAGAGATATACTTTTAAATATAATCATACTTAAAATTTTAATAATCTTGTTACAGGCAGTAAATAGCAGGTTCAGGGAATAAATAATGAAGTTAGATTGAGGAGTTTTTGTCATTACATTATTAATGGTGATTACCTTTTTTGGCCCACATACTGGATTGTTGCAGCAGTTCCTAAAATCTGTGAAAACTTCAGGAAGAAGGGAACCATTCTATTTGTGGCTTGTCTGACAAGGTCCCTGGAATTCTACTGCAAACTGCCATGTTTATCTGGATCTGCGCACACATCTGTGAGAAAAATTCCTGTGATGTCACACTCCCAACAATTGCCAGATTGTGATAAGTTTCCAGCAGAATGCAATCCATGGTTAATCTTAGAAAGATAAGAAAAGGACAGAAAGCCCTTCTTTCTGCTTGTATGTGCTTCAGCATTCCAACTAAGTGCCCAGCTATTGTTCTTTCCCTGACAAGCAAGAAAAATCACACCTCTGACTTTAGGACCAGTTTCTGGAATTTATTTTGGCCCAGTGTACCCTTAAAAGTAGTCACCGTATTTGAATATCCTTCAGCCTCCTTCCAGGCACATCTGAAGGGCTGAGCTGCCTCCCTGGGCTTCTTTTGTTTTCCAGATGCACCACAGACCAGACCATGCACAGGCAAAATGCTCAACAACAGGGTTTCTTGATTGGCTACCCAATTAAGTAAATCTCCTCGCCTGGAGAAAACGAAGTTAAAATAACATTGAGGTCTGTCCCCCAGCCCACAGAAGAGAAGAAAATTAAAAACCGGGGCTGAAAATTTCCTCTGTTGTGCAATGAGTATTGCAGAATGGCTGTAAGATGAAGTTTCAAGTAAGTATTAACACTTTCCTAAACATTAAGCATTCCCCCACAATCTTCTACACGTGGCAGGTTTGGCTGATGTTAGTTTCAGGGAGATTACACTGTTAGAAACCATAGCCATGAAAAGATTCTACCAACTCTACTTGTTTTGAGGTCAAGCACCCTCTCCTCTGTTTTTCAGTTAAAAAAAAAAAAAAACTGGAAAAGTGTGGAGTACTGGGGCAGCTGCCTCCCAAAATTTTCTGGAAGAAGTTCAGTCCCATAATTTCAGACAGAGGAAAGCAGGTACTTTGTTCATGAAACCTCCAGAAAATGAGATTCCACTCTCCTGCTCACCAACGCACTCTTGTGCATTGATGCAGCCATTGACACCACTCAGTTCCTCCTCCAGGCAGACTGTTTCCATGGGCCTGCTTTCCCAGAAGTGACTCACTCGGCCACGTGAAGTTCCCAGTCCAGTACAAATATGGAAGGTGGGGGGAGTCCATTGTAGAAGCAAAGAATAGTAAAAGAAGGACTGAATAGCTCTTCAAGTGTAAGAATTGGCACTTCAATTTTTAACCATAAAAAGAACTAAAGCACATCCCCTCATAAAGCTGTGTTTTATTGGTATGTATGTGGTTCAATAAGGTGAAAACCACTTTAGAGCTAATAAATAGCTCATATTCCCCATGACCCATGGAATAAATAATCGTGAAGGGCATAATTCTTGGGGTTATGCATCACTCTGTTGGTATACTTATAATAATTCAATGTTCAAGGCACCATACCAACACAGCCAGCTCTGAATGACAAATTATATCCAACAACAACACTATCAGTCCAGTAGTAACAGATATCTTTGAATGAATTTAGGACTACACACTTAAAATCTAGTTTATGATCCCTTCTTCTCCCTCTGGCCCCCACAAAGATCTATTACATGGGAGTTACCTGGTTTATTTTCATATTAGAGTGTGAAATCTAATATGGCTTGTTAACATAGCTTACCATATTTTTTGGGCATAAGTGTTTATGGGGAAAACTGCGGATTTATACAAGATTTTGGACATGTGACTCATATAAACTGGAATAAGAGTCGTGTTGCTAAAACCTGGGCTTGCTTTGAAGCCTCACCATACTGTTCTTGGAAAACCATTAAGCTAAATGCCCAGAAGGGTAGGAGAAATTGAATTGAGCAATAAAACATCAACAAACTGCAGAATTTGAACATCAAGCACTTTCATCTAAACATGCTCTTCTCTCCTTTCACTTGGCAGGGGTTTGGTTTTTGAAAAGTAATAAACTGTAGCACTCTGGTTGACCTGGGATGTGTTTAAGAAATCAAATCCTAGAGCCGAACCAGCATGACCTTTAACGTGGACTCCCCACCTCAGAAAAACCATAGAATGAAAAACATAAACAGGAAAGGAGAACAGAAAAATGTCTGTGTCAAGTGTCTAGGTTTGGGACTTTTTATAAAGAGGGTACACACCACAGTCCTAGGCTAAAATGAACCACCTTCAATCTGCTTAAACAGGTGTTTAGTACCTACTATCTCATGAACAGCAAGTGAACATAATCATACAAAGACACGAACAAGGCAGACGTATTCGCAAGTCTGTGTGATATTTGTGAAGCTGGGGCAGATGCTGTTCAGTCTCAGAGCAGGTTCACAGTCAAGAAACAGCCTTTCACAGCTCAAATTGATTTAAAAAAAAAAAACCCAAATCCTTTATTTATGTTTCTTTTTTTATTGGGAGGGAGAACTGGGGATTGAACTCAGGGGCACTCAACCAACCACTGAGCCACATCCTACCCTGTTTTGTAATTTATTTAAAGACAGGGTCCCACTGAATTGCTTAGTGCCTCACTTTTGCTGAGGCTGGCTTTGAACTCTCTACCCCCTGCC